ACTCAAGCTCAAGATGTGCACAGTTGCTTTAACAAACTCACTGGGTAGCTTACTGACATATCTATGAAAAGTTTTCAGTGTTAAAAACTCAAGCCTTTAATCTGAACAGATAACCTTACCTCCAGAATTGCATACCTTGTGTAGTAATTTTTGTTTCATTAATGTTCAGTGAGCTTATGGTTTCAATTTAAGCTTAATTTAGAAATGTATTAGTACAAAGTAAGCTAAATATACATTTACTCTTGCCTATGTTTCAGGGAATGCTAACCTAACTCTGATATTTTTTTAAAATTCTAAAATATCTGTGCTTGCTTGTCAGAGGTGTATTGAATATGTAATTGAAGTTAATTCACCATATAGTTGCACATTATTGTGATCCACCAGAACTTCATTTCATCAGTGTTATGAAAAGCCACCTTACCTGCTGAGAGAGCAGCAGGCTGTGAGAGTACGATTATAAAGTGGTGGAAGAAAGACCCTCTTTCTCTGTTAAATCGGAGCAGCTCTGTGTTCCTTTGTAGCTTTAGGAAACCTCAAATTTTCATGTCATTGTTTCTCTTCAGGTAAAAGACTGAGATTGTTCAAAATGCTCAGGTTTGCTGCTGACACTGATTCCAGCACGGAAAACAAATGTAGTCTGGGATTTTCAGAATGCTACTAATAAAATGCACCTCTCTGGAGCACAGTAGGGAATAGTCCTTGCCTGGTGCCTGTAGAATAAATGACAGGTTTGCTTTCAACTTGAAACTTTCTCAATATTTTCATGCAAGCCAAGATCCGGAGTCAGATTGATTCTCACTATTTTTGTGTTTTTGTTGTGATACTGTTTCAGCGGCTATCACAATAAGCTCAGAAAGACTGTAGAGTGGGAACAGACAGATTGACCATCTGGAGTAGCAGGAGTCAGTGAGCCTGTCATTTGATTGCGAGCCAAGAAGGACAATACCGATCGAGAGAGAGAGAGAAAAGGGCCAGGCTCATTTGCCGGACTGATATGTGGATGCATATGATTCAGTTATCAGATAGATTCGATAAATAAACTGCTCCCTGTTTGCTTTACCCTTTCACTTTGGTTTTGATACATTCTGTTGGTTGTTATCTGAGTTGAGTGACACACTGAGTTTGTGGTGTATTACTCAGAACTGATGCTGCATTCTCCTCATGTTTGAATCACTGACAGAACTGACTGACAGACTTGATCATCAGTTCAAAGCATGCATGTTAAAGGGCTCAGAAATTCAGACCCATGTGGACTGACTAAAATAGTGAAACATCATTTCTGAGGTTTTCATTAAATGTTGGTTGTTTATGATTAGCTACAGTAATCAGAGCTTTCTTTCTTACGATACCCACAATATTACCATTTCTCGTCTACCAGAAAACAGTTTTTATAATCTGTTAGGAGTTTATGACATTTGGTGAGTAAACATTCTAAATGTTTCATTCAAACAGTGTATAGATACAACAGGGATGACATAGACATAATTAACAGAGTAGGCCTGAGTAGGCCATGCTGCTTAATTGTGCTTTTGTCAGGGTAAGATCCTCTGTTAGTACACCAAAAAGTAAAAAAAAAACGGCATGATGTAATTGTTAAACCTGCAATCTTTAAATAAACTTCAAATATACAAGACTGTTAGGATTGGACATGACCACAATGTGTAATATAAGAGCGTTAGCTTGCTTGCATCTGTCACAGGAAGGGAAGAGAAGGGAAAAGTTTTGAGAACTTTACCTCACATATGTGAAGCCTCTATTCAATTTTAGATTGAATAATGCCATGCCTGGGACAAAGTGATAAGAGTGACTATCTTGAGTATTTTAGACCCATGATCATCTGATGTCATCTGACAGTTTCCAAATCATTTTCCCAGTTTTCCTTTATAATTGAGTGATGAGTCTTCAATTTTAAATATATAAAGCCTGGATATTGGAATGGAATGGTCTTGCTCAGATATTGTGGGTGAATAGATGCATGTCGGGGGAATTGACATCATCCACTGGGTCTCCTCAGGGCTGTGTCCTTTCCCCTTTCCACTACATTCTGTATACTGACAACTGCCGCAGCCGGCATGACACCAGATTCGTTTTCAAATTAGCTGATGACTCTGTAGAAGTTAGTCTCATCCATGCCAATGAAAACAGCCACGGACCTGTAGTTAATGACTTTGTAGATTGGTGTGGCAACAATTCCTTCAACTAAATGTACAAGAGAAAAAAAACAATGGAATGTGTATTGATTTTAGGCATAAACCCTCAACCTCTCATAAAAACATCAAGGGACAGGTGGTTGACTCTATAGAGAACTATAAATATCATGGGACACTAGTGGATAAATGGAATTTTATTTGCCACACTGAGGCATTTGGCAAAAAAGGCCAGCAACATCTTGCCTAAGGAAACTTGTCAAATTTCCTGTTGACGAGTCTCTTATGATCCTATTTTACAAATCATGTATTGAGTTCACTTAAAGAGTTACACTACAGAGTCACATTCACCCATTAACACATATTGCTACACTGGTGGCTGAGGCCACCATACAGGGTGCTATCTGCTCGGTAACCATTCACTCACACAGCTATGGCACAGCGCATAGACGCTAATTATCAGTTAAAAAAAGTTTTATCAATACTACAAGTACAAATTAAAGTTTTGGTAATAAAAAATGAGATGAAAAGCCTGAACAAATTTATCTTATTAGATTAAATGGATGTTAACAAAGTGTTCCTCAGGGGAATAATTAGCAGTTGACAAAGATAGATCGGCATATAGCAACACATTGAAAAAATGCAATAATATTGTATTGTGACCTAAGTAGTACAGCCTGGCTCAGCTGGCTATATGTTAAACTAAATTATTTAATTACTAAATTAGTGTTGTCACGGTACCAAAATTGGGACCCACGGTACGATACCAGTGAAAGTGTATCACGGTTCTGAGTAGTATCATGATACCATAGCAAAAATTAGGCAGATGTGCCTTTTGTCATTTATAAAGAGATAAATCACTTTTCTATAATACATCAATGATATTTCAATGGAATAAATTACTTATTGACTTATTCATACTTTAAAAACAGCATCAATAAGTGATTAACATAGGGGGGATCAAAATAAAATAAATAAATAAAATAAAAATCAACCAGCCATCCTCCTCCTCTGATAAGTTCAGAACAGTCCTTTCAGTGCGGTGAGGTTTGTGGACCGTTACCTGCCACAAAGAGAGAAATGTGAACGGCTTGTTTCTCCTCTGACACGTCACATACCTGTGTGCCGCCACGGCTCGGCTGTTCAGATATTCTGGGCAGTCATGACACCAACGAAGAGGAAATTATTGGACCTGGAGCCGGGCTTCTCGGTTGCTGGTAAACCGTTATCTTGCGGTGGCCATAGTGCTCCACCGTATTCCTGTCTGTGACCCCTGTTCAACCCACAACCAGCAGGATTCGCCTTTTGTTTCTGCTGCTGGTTGAAATCTGTACTCGCACAGAGTGCTCCTGAATGATTTTTTTTACAAGCACAAAACTATTTTTAGTCGCAAATGCGAGTAAAATGCTCGCACTGTAGAGCTCTGTGGAAAACGAATCACTGTAGCATATATAAACAAATCTAGCCTACAAGTAAAAAGAAATAAATAATAAGTTTCACTGCTTAAAGATACTCAATAGCTCAGCTAATACCTGAAATGTCACTGGAAAACAAACCACTGCAGCGGCATATTGAGTGCCAGGTGGCCAGCGTGCGCCGTTATTGGATGGCGCATGGACACTCACCCTCTTGCGATTGGACTTTGAACTTATCCCACAGTAGTGGTACGTAGTGCTACAGTACTCCAACATTATGGTATCATATGTACCGTGGTGTTTAAGTACCGCGGTCTACCGTGCAACACTATACTAAATTATAAAGATCCAAATTTGTCCAAAGATTATGGGCCAACCTGTGGCACACATCTTTCAAGCAACCCACAATAAGAGCATGCTTAGACTCACTAACAGCATTTCTGCTGATCTGCTGATCCCCTGCATGTTCTAAACAGAGAATACCAACATCTGCCCTCCAACAGGCAAATCAGAGTCCCACCATTTGAACACAACAAGCTTAAAAATTTGTTTAGATATCATTCTATCCTGTTGCTAAACCAAAACCAGAGTGCTGCTGATAAAAAAATCAGAATCTGAGGGTATTATGTGATTTAATTCATGGTCATGATATTTTTTGGGGCTTTTTTGCCTTTAATCAAGAGGACAGATTCAAAGCGTGAAGGGGGAGAGAGAGCAGCAAGGGGCTGCAAGATGGAATCGAACCCACGGCTACTGCAGCAAGGACACAGCCTTTGTACATGGGGCACCTGCTCTACCCACTGAGCCAACCGGTGTCCCCACAAAATTAATTTCATTTTCATGTATCGTATCGTATCGTATCGTATTGATACTGAATTTTCTAACTACTTTACAATACCTTAAAAAATATTGATATTCGATACCATTTTGATACCACAAGGAAAAACAGACATTCAGGGCATACAATTTAAATGTTTTTATTAAAAGATCAATTTAACAAGTTTATCAAGTCACAAGTCATCATGTTGTCAATAACATGACAACAACGCCTTTTCTTGTCTTGGTTATTTGCAGAAAACAGCAGAATGACTGTAGTAAAAATTAACAATAAGAGTGAGTGAGAAACCACAGCTTTTACTGGTTTATTGATACTGTTATACATTCCAAAATGCATGCACGTTCACTTTGATGATGTTTAAAGTGTCAGAAAAATGTCTGAAAACCCTTCAGACTCTGAGGAACTTAACTTAACATGACTGCTAACAGCTACTTTTCCCACAATGTTGGATTGTTCTTTTAACTGCAGTCTGATTGAGTGTAGAGCCGAGAGCACTGGCATTGTATGATGTAATTGTATGTGATTTCATGTGACAAATAAATTGAATTGATTGATTGTTTGTGACTCTGACTCTGACCGTTACTGTGCTCTTTGCTGCAGAGACCTTCCTCAGTATGGACACAAGCAGTGGCAGTCCTACTTTGGACGGACTTTTGATGTCTACACGAAGCTGTGGAAATTTCAGCAGCAGCACAGGTTATTTTCCTCTCTTATTAGTTCACATTGTTCACCAAGTTAGAATAAGTGGATGAAGAGTAACGTGGCTGTGATTGAGGGTGGAATCAGCAGAATGGGGAAAAATATTACGTTTGGATCTGATTTATTCATGTAGTAATTTTTAAACCATAGATGAGTTTACAAACAATACAGCACAGTTAAACTTATAAGGATTAGTGTCCAATGCATTCCCATGAAATACAATGTATGATTCTTAATTCACAGAAAGTGAGATGCATCTGTAAAAAGTGATGACTGTCACAGTGTCATTTGCCAGATGCTCTGTCATGCTCTGGCTGTATTATTTTATTGTCCAGTGATCAGTATTTTATGTTTTCATTTATTGACAGGCAGGTTCTGGACAGTCGGTATGGCTTGAAGAGATGGCAGATTGGGGAAGTTGCATCCAAAATTGGACAGCTTTACTACCACTACTAGTAAGTCAAACTTTGTTCTGATCATGCACATCTCTCAGTACCTTCACATGACATTAGAGAAAATTGATTTATTGTGTTAGTGCGACTAAAACCAGACTTTTAAAATACACGTAAACATGTTAGTCCATCTGAAATCGTACTAAATTGATTTTTTCAAAGCCGGACTAACACACCCAGATAATATGGTTGGGAGTTGAATTACTCCTGCATGTATACAGTCAATCGGACCCAGACTGGCTGGGGCACTCTGTGCATGCTCCACAGTTTCCGCCCCAGGCTTTGACCCGGAAGTCAAATAGCATTAAATGCATAACAGAAGAAGAAGTTGGTAACAACATGGTGAAATCTACATCCAGAGCCATGCAATTTTGGATGGACAAAATGTACAGAGCTGTAAAGTTGTCCACCATTGTACCAGTTTGCCGCTAGCTAGCCATAGCTAACTTGTTTGTCGACTGTTCAGTCTGTGACGTAACAAGTCAACCTGGAAAAGGTCCAGTATTAACAAGCTTAAAGGGTACATATCGCCACCTATCGTAGCAGAGCTGGACATACTCTGGTCACTAAATTGATCCCCCTCCCATGCTTGTATACCGGGACAAGGACAGTAGTCCAATTAAATGGCCCAGTCGAGATATAACCAAAGCTCGATTTAACTGTGCATGTCAATGTACTGACTCTTTCACTCTTGTCTGCTCTGAAACAGTCATTGATGAAGGCTGGGTGGGTCTAGAGCATATGAACAAATATACACTGAAGAAAAATTTAAATGCAACAGTTTTGTTTTTGTTCCCATATTTCATGAGTTCAAGTTAAAGGTCTAAGTCTTTATATGCAGAAGACTCATTTCTCTCAAATTTTGTACACAAATTTGATAAAATCCATGTCGGACCTGTGTGTAATTGACAAGCAAGAGTGAAAACATTGAATTTCTCCTCAGGGGGATTAATAAAGTAAATAAACTTTTCTGCTTTTCCAAGATAATCAATTCACCTGACAGGTGTTGCATATCAAGATGCTGATTGCTGCATAGGTGTGCCTTGGGATGGTCACAGTAAAAGGCCACCATAAAATGCACTTTTATAACAGAGCTGTCACAGATGTCACGTTTAGGGATGTCAAGTTTAGGGAGTGTGCCATCGGCATGCTGACTGAGGAATGTCCACCAGAGCTGTTAGCCGTGAGCTTAGTGTTTATTTCATGACCATAGGCCATCTCCAGTGTTGTTCCCATGAATTTGGCAGTACATCCAACCAGCCTCACAACCACAGACCACGTGTAACCACACCACCCACTGACCTCCACATCCAGCATCTTCAGCTGCAAGATCGTCTTAGACCAGCCACCTGAACAGCTGATGCAACCGTTGCATTGAACTGAAGAATTTCTTCACAAACTGTCAGAAACCTTCTCAATAAAGCTGACGTGCATGCTCATCATCCATACCGGGGTCTTGACCTGACAGCAGTTCATCATCATAACCGACTTGAGTGAGCAACTGCACACTGTCAATGGCATCTGGCACTTTGGAGAAGTGTTCTCTTTATGGATGAATTTTGGTTTACACTGTATCAGGCAGATTGCAGATGGCGTGTATGGAGTCATGTGGGCGAGCAGTTTGCTAATGCCAATATTGTGAATAGAATGCCCATGGTGGGATTGTGGTATGGGTTGGCATACGCTATGGACAATGAACACAAGTGCATTTAATTGATGGCAGTCTGAATGCTGATACTGTTACGAGATCTTGAGAACCATTGTCATGCCATTCATCCGCCACCATGACCTCATGCTGCAGCATGATAATGCACAACTCCATGTTGCAAGGACCTGCACACAATTCCTGGAAGCTAAAAATATCCCAGTTCTAACATGGCTTGCGTCACCAGACATGTCACCCATTGAACATGTTTAGGATGCTCTGGATCAGCTTATACAACAGCGTGTTTCAGTTCTTGCCAATATCCAGCAACTTCACACCATCACCGCCACTGAAGAGGAGTGGGTCAGCAATTACAAACCTGATCAACTCTTTGTGAAGGAAAAGTGTTGCACTGCATGAGGCAAATGGTGTCACAGCAAATACTGACTGATTCTTTGGGGTATCTGTGACCAAAATTTGCATTTCTGTAGCACTAGTTGTGAAATCCTGTCTTTTTACAAGACAAGTGTCCTTTTATTGTGACCATCTCAAGACACATTTGTGTATTAATAATGCTGTGATTAGCAAGATGCAAGCGCATACATTAGCAAGATGACAAGACAAAACATGCTGCTGACAGAAGCTTCATCGTATTTCACAGATTGACAGTTAGCAATGGAAATGCAAAAAGATATTCTTTTGTATACGAATTTCACCAACACCTCTTGAATGTATATATTTATTCAGCATACAATGCCCATAGCTGTACATACCTCTTCTGTTTTTCCTTATTTTTGTTAATTCTATTGACGTATATATTATAGTTAACATTGTAGTTATAATACATATTTTATATTTCTGAATGTAACATACTCGTTTGTACAGTAGCACAGTGCACATATTTGTATAGTTTTACACACTTATAGACTCAGCACAGTGAAGATATATATTTTATTCTTAATATCTGAAGTACTAGTGTTTAATATTGTAACATCATGGACAATTCTTTTTCTTTTTTATTTATTTTTTGTTTTATATTTACATACTTCTATTTCATACTCTTAATCTTACTTCTTAGAATTCTCTATTCTTTACATCTGAGCAACTGTAACGAATCACAATTTCCCCCCAGGGATCAATAAATTATGTCTGATTCTGATTCTAATGATTCTTATGAGGCATGTGCAAGTGATAGCAGAGAATTTATAACATTCATTGCTTTTGTCATACTAAGAATTTTCTCTGAGATACAAAAAAATTCACAAGTATTCAGTTCATATGAGTCATGTACAGTCTACCTTTCTCCTTAGAGGAAAACATCTGTTGAACTTATAATGATGTCTCAATCTTAATGAATTTAGAGATTAAATATGATTAATAGCCCCTTTTCCACCGCAGGAACTTTTATCAATTACCCGGAATTTTGAAAAACCTCCGCGTTTCCACCGAAATGACCCGTGTGAAAAACTTTCCCTCAACCCCAAATTTACCCTGGAAAAAGTACCTAGTAGGGGGGTAGGATTTTTCAGATTACCCGGAATTCTTGAGGGGCGGGGCTGTTTGCCCAGGAATTCTTTTACCCAGGTAAACAAATTTCTGGTAATAAAAGTTCCTGGAAATTTTGGTGGAAAAGGAGCTAATGTATAAGTAGTACACTAAGTATAATGCAAAATTAATTTTATCATTATCATATCATCATCATCATCATCATCATCATCATCATGGCCATTTAGTCTTCTAGATTTTCTGTTTTTATAATTGGTATATTTTGGCATAAGGACTTCTACTATTCTTTAGTTGTTAGGAAAATTCTCTCACTCTGATAGCTGCCTAATGGTTTTTGGTCGGTCTCTGTCCAATGTCCATTGTCTGTCGCAAACGACAGTATACATCACCTACTGTGTGTAATGTTTTCTTGTCTATTATTTCTGATTTTCATATCCCCTTGACCAGCTGTTTGTAGCTTTTAACTCCATGTACATTCATTCCCTCTTTATATCTGTCACAATGCAGTGTTGTTCTGATGACACATCCTTGGCAGATGATTTATTAATATATTTTTTTCACATTTTTTTCAGGTCCTCTAACACACCTACTGACACTGCTAACCATATTTTTTTTATCCAGCATTAAGTCTCTTAGCTGTGCCATGTGAAATTCTTAGTTAGCAAACCTTTTTGTGAATGAAATCTGGTCACAAACAGCATGGGACAGGCCTCACAATATGACAATTTTAGGGGCATAGATAAGAATAATGCCAAAATCTCATGAACATTGACCTCCTCAGATGGCATTCATCAGGCTGAAGTTAACAACTTACGACAAGTTTGCTGGTCAGACAGTTTTGTGGAGCCGAATTGGCACACTTGTGCAAGCAAACCTAACAGAAACAAGTAAAAGAGGTATGTGATAAGAATCTGTATGAGACACATTGTGTTTGATGGGAAGCACTGTGGGTCCTATATTAATTACATAAGCACAATGACAAGCGCAAAGCAGTATGTCTTGGGCGCTCAGACTTCTGTGGGCATCTCCGAGCACACCTGCTACTTTGGTTCATGTACTGTATGTGCAGCAGTACAGAGGGCAAAAGGGCTTAGAAAAGAGGAATTAAGATAAGAGGCCGTGTTGATTACTAAATACACCCTCAGTCTAAAGTGTGTTGAAATGGTATAAATGTAATGAAATATGCTGCAGTAATGCACCTTCTGCTTTCTAATCTTGGTTGACAGCCTTCGTACCTCAGAAACAAGTTACCTGAATGAGGCCTTTTCATTCTACTCAGCCATCCGCCAGCGCTCCTACTACTTCCAGGTCAACAAAGAGGACAGGTAAGTTTCAAAATCTTTTGTTAAAATGTTGTGAGTTGTAGTTTAAGTAAGTAGATCCCTATGCTTGGTATATAATAAATTGCCTGGACAGTTAAGATTTATTTTATTTTATGCTATTTTAAAAATTTAGCCAAATGTTTTCTTATTCAATAGATTATAGGTATGTTCAACAATTTAAAAGTACAGGGTTATTTTAAAGGATAAGGACAGCTATATTCTCTATTTTTTATATGTCAGGCTTTGATACACAAAGACAACTTATTAGTAAGATGCATGAATTGTTGGTTTGGGTTTGCACATGGCATGTGTTGATAATGATATTAGTAAATGTATAATATAATAAGAAAACTATAGAATATCAGACTAACTCTTTAGAGTTCTCAGCCACAGACACTGGAAAGCGAACTAAAGTTAAGCAGTTTCAATAACACAAACGTGCTAAATGTAATTCTCAGATTGAAACATGAACCTTACAGCTTCATCAGAAGCCTTAATGAACAAGGCTTTAAATGTGCCTGTCTTTTAATGTGTATTTGTTTGACTTTACAAGTTAATATTGTGTCTTCTCTTCTTTTTTATCAGGCCAGAACTGGTGGTAAAGAAGCTTCGATATTATGCTCGCTATATCGTTGTCTGTTTACTGCTGAACAAGATGGACCTAGTCAAAGTTTTGGTGAAGGTATGGAAGCCGTTTTTTGTTACTAGAGCATGCTGAGTGTTCCGAATTTTCTGAGGAGCATGAAGACATCCCCTGCACCCATATACCTCATGTACTACTCATAGCGTTCATTTTAGTGTCTCACCACATGATATGGACATCAGAGAGATAGAAAGTGTTGCATGCCACTCTCAATCTCTCTCTACTCAAACAAACCGGGGGGTGTTGGGTCATAGTTGAGGCACCAACACACAGGCCACCAGGATGCTCCCACTGCCAACCTCAGAAGTTAGAGCACTTACACACCTGTTTATTTTCAAATATGAAAAAACAATTATCCATTATGACCATCGCAGTATATTTTTTAACTAATTTCAATTGACCATTAGAGCTATGGTGCAGTTTGGTGCAGTTAGGTGTGAATGTGAGTGTGAATGGTTGTCTGTCTCTGTGTGTTAGTCCTGGAATTATTGGAATTATACAAGGTACAATTTCAATGAAATGTGATGCCATCAGCTCCTTTAACTTGTGCAATGTAATTGAGTCCAATTTTTGCATCTTGTTATTTTGTTGTCTGCTGCTTTATGATTGTCCATGTTTCTGGTTGGTTCTGGCAATCCATGGTTTCTAGTTGTGGATTGATTTAACTGTCCACACATCCCAACCTCAACAAGGTGGATGTATGGTCTTCTCTCCCAAAAACAGGCAGGAGCCGTCTCTGAGCAGCAAATAGCATTGACCCACAGCAGGAATGGGACAGCACCTCATGTTCCCACTGTCGCACCAGTCCTTAGTCACCATAAAGCACACACCTCCTCTCCTTCTCTCGCCAGAGTCCTCTGCTTTGTCAGATCAGCGTATAGAAAAAGAGTCACCTGGCTGACTGGTGTTGTCCAGGATTCAGCCAACTTTTGGTGAATCAAAGGTTATTACAGTTCCTGTTATCCCATCGAAAACTGATGCAGCAAACTAGCAGCTAGCTAGCTAGCGAGAAGTCAGCAGAAGGAGAGTTTACAGTCTGGTGAGTTAGTTTCCTCATCCTGATGAGTGATTCGCAGCCACACGCCACCACCGTCCAAAACTGACCACAAAAATTACCACCAAGACTTGCAAAATAGACATAAGAGCCTAGACTTAGTACATACTTAGTGGAGCTGACAGAGAGGTGACGTCCATACCTACATCATGATCAAAATCTATATAATGTACGACTGCAGTTGCTGCTCAAACGGAGCAGGCACAATGGATTAACTGAGTGTTGCACGAGTTCAAACATTACAGCAGTGCTTTGGTGCTGTAATAGACATATTTGGTTGATTATTTAACATACAAACCAACTTCACTGCTAGCACACAATTTCCGTTCAAGCCATCACACTGTTCTATGTAGATATAAACTACTAGGAAACCATAACGCTCCAAAAGACCTAAAGATCTAAGTGGCACAGCTCTGGTTTCTCATGTGCGGTTGCCATACCAATGACACTATATACTCACTAGGTCATCTGCTTGTATACATTTTACAAACACATTGTGGCCAGGTATGCTACACCTTGAAACAAAACCTAACACAGAGCTACAAGGTTTTATACTTGTGAGTCTTGGCTTCATACCTTTTCTGTATGGAGGTGAGAGCAGAAACAGATATACACTTGGGACAAATTAAATGTCCCAATTGTCTTGCTTCACTTTTTCAAAGTAGTTGGCCAGTTTGACCAGCATGGCCATAGACTCCCGTCATCTGGTCAGCAGAGTGCTGAACATACACGTTTGTACTTTTGTACATACAGCTGTATCAGGTGTGTAGCCCATGTTGTCTGGTGACAAGTTCCTGGTAAGTCGCAAGGCAAGGCAAGGCAAGGCAAGTTTATTTGTATAGCACAATTCAACACAAGGTAATTCAAAGTGCTTTACAGAGACATTAAAAGCAACAAGACACAATTTAAAACAATAAAAAGAGTCGATTAAAAAGGGAAATAGAAATTGAGAATGATAGTGATAATAATAAAATACAGTAACATAAAATAAAAACAGGCTCAATACATTGAACAGTCAGGATAAGAAAAGAAGTAGAATAATAAAAGGCATAAATCAGCAGTGTGTAGTTAAAAATTATGGGCAGTAGAATACAGCAGGTAAGTATTTAATCTAAGAGTACGCTTCAGTAAACAATAGTGTTTTTAGCCCTGATTTAAAGAAACTGACAGTTTGAGCAGACCTCAGATTTACAGGAAGTTTGTTCCACAGGTGAGGAGCATAATAACTGAATGCTGCCTCACCTTGCTTGGTTCTTGTTCTTGGAACACACAACAAACCTGTTCCAGATGACCTAAGGGGTCTGGATGCTTCGTAGGGAACCAGTAGATCAAGCATGTATTTTGGTCCGAGACCATTTAGGGCTTTGTAGACCAGCAGTAAGATTTTAAAATCTATTCTTTGACTCACAGGAAGCCAGTGTAGCGATTTAATGACCGGTGTAATATGGTCCAGTTTCCTGGTGTTTGTAAGGACTCTGGCGGCAGCGTTCTGAATCAGCTGCAGCTGTCTGATTGATTTTTTGTTAAGGCCTGTAAATAAGCCATTGCAATAATCCAACCTACTAAAAATGAATGCATGAATAAGTTTTTCCATGTCTTGTTTAGACAGAAACCCCTTAATTCTAGCTATATTTTTAGGTGGTAATAGGCAGATTTAGTAATAAACTTTAAATGGCTGTTGAAGTTCAGGTCTGAGTCAATAATAACACCAAGATTTCCGGCTTGATTTGTAGCTGTCAATGACATAGAGCCAAGGTGGGCGCTGATCTTTGCCCTTTCATTTCTAGGGCCAAAAATTAATACCTCTGTCTTTTCTGGATTTAGCTGGAGAAAATTCTGGCACATCCAGTCATTGATTTGATGAATACAGTTACTCAATGAGAGTAAGGGACTGTAGTCGTGTGATGACACTGAGATATAGAGTTGTGTGTCGTCGGCATACGTATGATAGGAGATGTTGTGATGTTCCATAATCTGGGCTAGGGGTAGCATATAGATGTTGAATAGAAGTGGTCCGAGAATGGACCCTTGAGGAACCCCACATGTGATCGTAGTTCGCTCAGATTCATGGTTACCAACTGACACAAAATAGTCCCTATCTTGTAAGTAAGATTTGAACCACTGTAGCACAGTGCCGGTTAGTCCCACCCACTTTTCCAATCTGCTAAGTAGTATATTATGATCAACTGTAGCAGATGCAGCACTGAGATCTAGTAATACCAGGACAGAGGATTTGCATGCATCATTATTCTGATGAATATCATTTAAGACTTTGATAAGTACAGTCTCAGTGCTGTGATGTGGCCGAAATCCAGACTGAAATGTGTTAAAAAGATTGTTTTGCATCATAAAAGTATGGATTTGCTGAAAGACAACCCTTTCAATGATTTTCCCCAAAAATGGCAGATTTGATATTGGCCTATAGTTACTAATTGTTGTGGCGTCCAGATTTGATTTTTTTAGGAGAGGTTTTATTACTGCAGTTTTCAAGGCCTGGGGAAACTGGCCTGCTTTAGAGAAGTATTTATTATCTGCAGTACATCTGGAGCTATGCAGTTAAAAATGGTTTTAAAAAGGTGTGAAGGCAGAATATCAAGGCAGCATGTTGTGGGCTTTAATTTTGAAACCGTTTCTGTTCTGAGTTGTGTAATCTAGGAGGCTAAAATGTCCTAGATTAACCGGAGGACAGGAAGGCACAAGTCTTATCATTCCTGAGCTGGAGCTGCACACTGCCTGTCTTATCTGTAATATTTTGTTTGTGAAGAAGGCTGCAAAGTCATTACATGACTTGTTAGACAGTAGTTCAGGAGGGAGTGATGCTGTGGGGTTGGTCAGTCTGTCCACTACAGAAAAAAGTGTGCGGGCATTATTACTGTTTCTATTGATAATCTCTGAGAAATATGATTGCCTTGCATTCTTCAGTTCCTGGTAATAGTTGTGAAGACTCTCTTTATAAATGTCGTAATATACCTGGAGTTTCGCCACCTGCGTTCAGCTTGTCTACATACTCTTTTGTATTCTTTAACCAGTGTGGCGTTTCTCCAGGGTGCCTTTTTCCTGCCTGACATAACTTTGATCTTAATTGGGGCGATAGAATCAATAACAGTCATAACATTGGAACTAAAACTGCTTACAAGGTCATCATCTAGAGCTGAGGGCAGGGTTTGTGATGGTGTAAAACCCAGGGTAAATAATGCACAGGTGTTATCATTTATATAACGCTTTATGATCACCTCTGCTTCACTTTTCATAGGATTAGCAAGAGTGGTCATTTTGAATGAAACACAGTAATGGTCAGATAAAGCGACATCGTTCACCACAACCTCAGAGATATTAAGACCTTTGGAAATAATTAGATCTAATATGTGTCCTCTGTTATGTGTTGGTTCTGTGACATGCTGAGAAAGCCCAAAGTTATCCAGAATATTTAACAGTTCCTTAGCACACCCATCTGTAAGATTATCAACATGAATGTTAAAATCTCCCACTAAAACAACACAGTCAAATTCCATGCACACAATAGACAGTAATTTGGCACACTCATCAAAAAAAACCTTGCATCATATTTGGGGGGTCTGTAGATGGTCACTAAAATTGCTCGACAGGGGGATTTTAACTGAGTGGCAACATATTCAAAGGAGTCAAATTGACCATAAAACATTTGCTTACACTCGAAGCTGTCCTTGAACAGAGTGGCAACTCCGCCTCCACAAGGACAGAGGTAACATTCAGTGCTCTCACTACAGAGGCTGCTCCCTTGTAAGCCTTTTTGATAGAAATGGTCTCCCACCTATAGCTCTATAGCATGCAGAGAAGATGAAAATCCAGAGAAGATGCTTATTGGGTGGGGGTCATGCTGGAATAGGGCTCCTCTTCTGAGAACACAGTAACTTCTGATTGGGGTCTTCTCTTTCACTGTCAGTGGGACTGGGAGTCCTCTGCAGTGGAAGTGAGCCATTAGATTTTCAGTTAGCTAAGGGCTAAGGCTAGGCAGCTAAGCAGGAGAACTGACAGATTGAATATTACCCATTACCTTCACCTCCTCATCATAACCCAGCAGAGCATTGGTGCTCTGGCTTTACAAACAAAACCCAAACTCTAATTGCAATTTCCACTTTCCCCTTACAGAAAACTGGGACAAGTTAGCCTGCCTCATGAAATTTGTATGGGACCTTATTTTCTGAATCTAGCACAAGTCAAACTTTTGCAGTAGAGTTAAAAAAGTGTTTGGATTTAGCTTGACCTTCCTGGAACTCCATGCCTGTCTGTTACCTGCAGGAGCTTTCTGAGGAGATTGAAGATTACACACAGCGGTTTAACACAGAGGACCAACTTGAATGGAACCTGGTTCTACAGGAAGTGGCAGCTTTTGTTGAGGTAACTAGTTTAGTACTTCCAGTGTTGTCTATGTTATTATCCATAATGTGGTTACAAGTTTGTTTGATTAGATTGTCCAGAGGTTCTTGAAGTACATTGCTTTTTTATTTGATTTTTTTTTTGTAATTGCCCTACACAAAATAGTCAGACATTGGTGAAGTTAAGTGAAAATAAATAACTTCTTTAAAAATAAATGTAAAAAAAAAATTGAAAAGTGGTGCATGCATGCGTATTCACTCCCTTTGCTATGAAGCCCCTAGATAAGACATGGTGCCACCAGTTACATTCAGAAGTCGCATAGTAAGTTAAAAAAGTCCACATGTGCACAATCTAAGTGTCACATAATCTTAGTAGGTGTACACGAAGACCAAGGAGCTCTCCAAACAGGTCAGGGATAAAGTTCTGGGATAGTAATGATCTGCCCAGTCAGCCCCTTGCTTTTCACCATCCCTCTTGAACCATTAGCATGTGCTATCTGCTCTAGGGATGATATGCATAATATATTGACTGACGATCACTATAAAATCGGCACGCCGCAGGAGGCTAAGCACAGGAGATAACTTTGACGCGCCCACAAACTGATTCACACTCTCTCCTTTACTCGGTTCATTTCTCTTTAATGCCATATCACAAAGCCATGCATTTGACACACGCGCTAGTGCAAGGTTTGATCATGATACAAGTAACAGGATTAATAACATGATGGTTTAAGCGTTAGTGCTAGCGTTAGTGGTCAACAGAAAGTTTCCCTCCCGACTCACCCTCCTTCTTGGACAAACACAGAACTGACAACAGGTGAGCATAATCATCTGCAATCACAGAGGGCACCACACAGTGACACTCCCACCACCCAAGCACCAATGGCGTGTACTCACCCACATCACATAGACATTCAGACTTACCAACATGACACATGCACATATGGCTCCTACACATAATGTAAACATTTATGGTCATAATTTTAAATTGAATATGTATGCTGATGATATTGTGCTCACCTTGACCAAGCCAGCATCCTCACTTCCTGCTGTTTTTGATTTGATTGATTTATTTGGCAGTTTTTTGGGGTATAAGATAAATTTGCAAAAGAGCGAGGCAATGTGTGTTTTGTTTTGTTCTGTCTTGTTTATTTTCTATTCTTGTGTTTTTCCTGTCTGATTTTTCCCTTGTTGAATGTGTTAAATCTAAAAGAAAGAAATAACAATAAAATGTTAATAATAAAAAGAATATTTAGGAGCTTCATAGTAAATGGAGTGAACTACGGAAGCCGAGAACAGCCATGTATTATTCTTTTTTTTTTTTGTGCACTGTTATCTCATGATAACGACTTATTATTTCGTTATCTCGATATAACAAAGATTGTTTTCTCGTGATAACAAATGAATTATCTCGTTATCTCGACATAACAAAGATTGTTTTCTAGTGATAACGAATTAATTATCTTGTTATCTCAATATAACAAAGATTGTTTTCTCGTGATAATTGTCAAGTCTGATGATTGCACACTGGTTAATGTGATCGTCCTGATTTCAGCCTACAAGAGCTGCCACTGGCTGGTCCAGGTGTCCCAGGGAGGTGAAAATGGCAGATCACATTATTGATCAATGCATCAGGATGTACTTCAATCAAGGTCTAACACAGGCAGAAATTGCATTGTGTCTTTCTGTTACAGATGGCATTCAGATTACTCCTCGTCATTTAAGGAGAAGACTAGCGCAGTTACAACTTCACAGGCGATGGTTAAGTGATCCTGCTGAGATTGTTAACTTGATTAGCAACCAGATAAGAGGACCGGGTTGTCTAGGCTAGTAAAAAACTCAAAAAAAAAAAAAAAAAAAAAAAATCAATGATCAGAAAGACTTAAGGAAACGCCTACTGATATACTTTGGTTTATTGTGTTACATTTAATGTTACTAATGATCTAATGTGCATAGACTAATAACAGTACAGTTAACATTTTGAGTTCCACAGTAATCTTGTTTTATTGTGTTATGTATATGTATTAGGCGATATATTGTTTTTAAAATAGGTTAGTTATCCTTTTCCTTAAAAAGACACATATACAGCTTAATTTAAAGGTGTACTTTTATTGTAATCAAAACCATAACTGGGAAAAAGCAGACCTGGCAGATACAAACAGAAGCAAGTACAGAAATACTCATATCTTTGCTTTATGTAACAAGAATTTCCCACCAGGGATCAATAGTCTTTCTGATTCCGATTACCAGGCTATACAGTATGTGTAACAAACTCTCATATCTTTGCTTAATGTAATACAAAAAGAATTAGATTTACAAGAAAAAATTCCCAAAGGTCCGACCTAGTAGGCCTACTTGAATCCCATTAGTCCGACCTCCCAAAAGTCCGACCGCAGTAAAGTTACATTTCAGGGGGGACCAGGCAACTTCCCCTTTCAGTAAACGCAGAGCAGCGGTACCACTAAACAGCTGCAATGTCTCTATGCGCGGACTGTGAGGACAGTTGCATTTACCTCATCGATGGGAAATCACATCATCTGCTATATGTGACGTACATGCCCTTATTTGGATAACACATCCTGGTATTCCCCACACACGGGAAGATATTTTAAGTAGTGGGGGCTGCCAACTGAATGAATGAATGAGTGACATCATTGTATTTTTTTTCCTGCTGTATAGCGCATTTCACATCGCCACTCACTAGGCTGCTGACTGGCTGCCATAAGCTACACACAAATAAAACATTAAGAAGTTCTAACAAATGCAAATTTTATTACATTTTTTCCATAAGGAGGCCAACAGTAGAATTCACCACATGACAAAAGCAGACAAGAACTACTGTAGTTTGAGCGCTGTCCTTGGTGCTGAAGATATCCCCGAGTCTGTTACAGGCAGTGGTTATAACAAAATCACTTTAAGCGCTGTCCTTGGTGCTGAAGATGCAAAAACAAACAAATGTCTATACTCCAAAACTCACTATGTCTGACATGACGAACCAAGACAGTGTACATAGATAAAACAAAAAACGACATCAGCAGAAAAACAGAAGTCCTGCAAACCAACAGCAAGCGGCGATCACCATGGCCAAATAACATTGCATATCTGTTACTAGAAAAGCACTCGGAGAGCGCAGACCTCCACCAAGCAGCTGGGATTTCCCATTTTATTATTTTATCCACTTCGCTTCAACCGATCACCACCAAAATCTGTTCATCTGTTCCTTGTCCCATTATCAACCTTTCCTGAAAATGTCATCAAAATCCGTTCAGAACCTTTTGAGTTATTTTGCAGACAAACAATCAAACAGACAAACAGACCAACGCCAGCGAAAACATAACCTCCTTGGCGGAGGTAAAGAAATAAAAACAAGACAGCTGTTGGCAACTAACGCTGTTGCTGCTGCAGCTACTATTAGGCTACTACTGTTATCCAAACTAAATTAAAGGAAGCAAAGATTGTTTAACCTATAATTCCACATTATGTTGTCTTCTTTCCACAGCAAATAAATTATTTTCTTTTAACGAATGACTCAGAGAAATGCCGTCTAGCAAAGTTAAATATTTTCACCACCATTTTAGTTATGAAATAGCCTCACATATGATATTCAAGGTGCATGTACACTCAAGCAGGATCTCACACACATAAAACATGACTGGAATTAATAAACAAGCAGTAAATGCACAGTGGGGGTTATTTGTTTTCTGTATCGGCGTGAAGCGCTGTGTTAATTGAGTGAATCGTCTGAGCCGGACGCGTGTTAATTTGAGTTTGATTTAATTTAATTACACTAAAGTTGTTGAGTTAAACTAACCAGGATGTGTTATCCAAATAAGGGCATGTACGTCACATATAGCAGATGGATGTGATTTCCCGTCGATGAGATAAACGCAACAGTCCTCACAGTCCATGCCGGCGCAGTGAGGGATAAATGCACAGACTTCTTTGTGTTGGAAGTGCTGTGGTCTGACTAACTGGTGGTTGGACTACTGGGTATGAAATCCGACGGTCGGAATAATGGCATTAAAATGGTTGGATTAGACATTATGGGACTAGAACGATAAAACTCGCTGTAGACCTGCATGGTCAGACTAGCGGGTAGTTGGAGTTATGGGTAGTCGGACCTATGGGAGGTTGCACTAATGCCTGGTCCCCACTGGCGAGTGGGGTGGCCAGCAAATTTATAGGGGGGGCCGTGGCCACCCCTGGCCACCCCCTGGTGGCGCCATTGAAGACGACCCAGTCCTCTTATCTGGTTGCTAATGAAGTTAACAATCTCAGCAGGATCACTTAACCGTCGACTGTGAAGTTGTAACCGCGCTTAAATGACGAGGAGTAATCTGAATGCCATCTGTAACAGAAAGACACAATGCAATTTCTGCCTGTGTTAGACCTTGATTGAAGTACATCCTGATGCGTTGATCAATAATGTGATATGCCATTTTCACCTCCCTGGGACACCTGGACCAGCCAGTGGCAGCTCTTGTAGGGTGAAATCAGGACGATCACATTAACCAGTTTGCAATCATCAGATTTGACAATTATCACGAGAAAACAGTCTTTGTTATATCGCGATAATGAAATAATTAATTTGTTATCACTAGAAAACAATCTTTGTTATGTCGCGATAACGAAATAATTAATTTGTTATCACTAGAAAACAATCTTTGTTATATCGGGATAACGAAATAATAAGTCGTTATCACGACATAACAGTGCACAAAAAAAAGAATAATACATGGCCGTTCTCAGCTTCCGTAGTGAACACATGCATGCACCACATTTCACTTAATTATTAATATTTTATCCTTTTAAAAAAGTTTTTTTATTTTCACTTCACTAAGTTTGACTATTTAGTTTAGGTCCATTATAAGAAAATCCAAATAAAAATCTATTTAAATTACAGGTTGTAATGCATCAAAATAAGAAAAACACTAAAGGGGGTTAAAACCTTTGCAAGGCACTATATCTTATAAATAGATGTTAAAAACCCATAATTGTGTAATCTGTACAAGGGTATGACAAATTGAAGGTTGAAGTTAGTTACTGACATAAAAATATTAATGCAACACTTCATCTTCCTGGACTGACAGCCAGGTAATTGAAGAAGTCATCTGCTGCCTGGTACACTGGATCAGCCGCAGCTCACTGTTGTTTCTCTCCATTTGTAAAACAGGCAGATCCAGTTGTAGTTCTGAATGACAACAATTCTGTAATCGTCACCAGCAATCGGCTGCAGGAGGGAAGTGTGCCTCCACTGGAACAAGGCATGGTGGTTGGGCAGCTCATCCTTGCAGATGCACTAATCATCGGCAACTGTAACAACCAGGTTTTAACCCACTAATTCTAATTCACAGGTCCTAACACTTCATACATCATCAATGCAGTCACTGACAGGTCTTACTGATGAAAACTCGTTGTTGGCTCTTAGACATACAATATCAAACACAACTTTTCAATATAGAACTTACCAGTAATACCTTCAGGCCCATCTTGAATAATAGTTTCATTACTGTATGACGGGAGTTTGTCAATTGTGTTAAACTTTTTTTGATAGACATGCATGTCCTGATAGATTCATAGTGCATGGTCCACAAAGGGTTAAGTCCTGCCCTGTCTCTAACCACTATCAGTAGTATAGTGACAACAGTAATTTTAGAGCACAGTAACAGCAATACATGATTTTATAATGTGTATTTTACTGCCATTTATGTCAAAGGACAGAGACGTTGGGCCTCATGCAAGAACCACTGGTACAAATTCTTTCTTAAAGGGACAGTTCACTCCAAAATCAAAAACACATATTTTTCCTCTTATTGTAGTGTTATTTATCAGTAGAGTCTAGAATTGCAGAGGGTTGGAAGTATCGACTGTAGAGATGTCTGCCTTCTCTCCAGTATAATGGAACTAAATGGCACTTGCTTTGTGGTGCTCAAAGCCCCAAAAAATACATTCGAAAAACTCAACAGCAACTTCTTTCTAGAAGAATTCCTCTCTGAGAGTATTTTCACCACTTTACCTCTCTGTCACACAGCGTGTTACGACAGGAAAGCCATTAATGACTTCAGTTCCCCATCTATGCTTTTGTCAAAGCCACCAGACTCCATTGAGAAAAACAGTAATTTTAGCCCACTGAACGCAGAAGCTGCTGGTCTGCGACTGCTTCTATTAGTTAGTTAGTTTAACACCAAAGTCACACAATAACACAAACAAAATAACTGATCGAAGCAGCAGTAGGCCAGCAGCTGCTGTGTTCAGCAATGTTAAATCACTGTTTTTGTCAAAGGTGTCTTGCATTGAAGAGAAAGATATAATGGCTTAATTTTTCTATTGCAAATCACTGTCTGACATTAAGGTGAGGCAGGCATGTAGCGTACATTTAAACTGATATTGATTTTTTTTTTTTTTTTTAGGTGGCTAAAATACATTTTGTTGCTGACCCGTCTACAGCAGTAGATTCTTAAGCCCCTTTGTTGGACTACACTCCCAACCCCACTTCATAAAAATTGAACTATCCCTTTAATGTTTACATCTTACTCTGACACGAGCACAAGCCTCTCGTCCATGATCAGACACAAGCTTCCTTTTGCGCTGGATACAGGTGGTATTCATTAGATTGAAACATAAAGTTTACAACATATGTTTATGCTTAGGGTTAAGTCAGTCTGACTCATACTGACTTGAACACTTGAACAAGCGAACCTCACAAATGAGTAAGAGTATTAAGTAAGTAAGAGGTTTAGGGTAACAACACCAAAGGGTTCTTGCAGGAGGCCAAATGTTTTATCGTCAGCTTTTTACGTGCTTCTCTGTCCTCCATCTGACACACAGATCTACATTTTCAACCTGATCATGACAGCAACACTAACATAACACTATGGGGAAGCAAAGTGTTGATCTACGATTTCTGGTCATTGGCCTCCTACCAGAGCAAAATCCTGAAAAGGTTTCTAATTTTAATCACACACTAAAGGGATAGTTTGGATTTTTTGAAGTGGCTTTGTATGATGTACTTATCCATAGTCAGTGTATTACACGCAATAGATGGCAGTCCACAAGCACAGGAGAGCCAAATAGGAAGCAAAGCAATGCACTGCTGTGGACGGGGACAGCAGCATAACGTGTTTTAGGCGCTTGAAAGAAGTTTAGTTTACGAAATCTATATGTGTACGCTATATTGAGAGTATTTTTACTGCTTTACCATTCTGTCAGACAGCCTGTTTTGATGGGTGAGCCATCAACGGCTACAGTTCCTCATCTATACTTTTGTCAAAGCCACAAGACTCCATTGACAAAAACAGTAATTTTGGCCTGCTGGACATGAATCTGCTTGTCTACTGCTGTCTTGATCAGTTAGTTTGTTTGTATTATTGTGTGACTTTGGTGAGTCTGAACTAATTCTTTTGAGCACCAAAGTCACACAATTACACAAACAAGACTAAACAGTCAAGGCAGCGGTAGACCAGCGGCTTCTGTGTTCAGTTTTGTTCAATCACTGTTTTTCTCAGTGGAGTCAGAGAGCAATCTAACTACTTTATTTCCCTGTCAGAATCGCTGTTTGACAGCAAGGTAAAGCAATGGAAATATTCTAAATATAGTATACCCCTAAACTGATATTGAATTCATTAAATACATTTTACTGCTGTTCCCGTCCACAGCAGTACATTCCTTAGCTTCCATGTTGGACTCCAGCCTGCTTCTTTAAACTGGCAGCATGCTGACTGACATGTACTGTATGTAATATACTAACTATGGATAAGTACCTTGTACAACTTCACTTTTAAAGATCCATACTATCCCTTTAATGTTTTTTAATACAAGTCTATCTGGAGAATTGAACACGTCCGTCAGAGGTAGGAACTCTAACACTAAGGGTAAGCTCTATCACATGTCCTCCACATCCACGACAGATTTGCCCCTACATTAGTTAATGAAGACCTGGTAATACAATATAGGTGTTTCTGCTTAGTGGCCAAGATAGACAAGAGAGAAACTGTGAAACATCTAAGGTAAAGTACTATTAGTACTATTAGTACTATTAAAGTGAAGGCTTTTCATCCCCATACACTCTATGATAATGTACTGTAAACATAACTTCATTTATCACAGTAAACATTTAGTTTAAGTGACAAGTTGCTTTTCCAGGTTTTTCCTGGTTCATGCAGCAGCTCTTTCTCTATGAATCTTCTTCAGTTTTTGCCCCTCAGCTCTTTTAGCTGGTTGTGGAAGTGAAGCTCAGCAAGCATGTGCTCAGGGCTTTAGGGTTAACAAATCTGTATATGTCTTGACAGTGTAACTAAACTTAAAAATGTTCTTTCACATTTGGGAAGTACCACCTTACTAGTACTATCTCTGTGTCAAATGTGTACTGTTTGTTTCCCTAGAACACAGTGAAGTGTTATTTTACTGTTTCAACATTTAAGACAAGTCCCTCGTCACTACGCTCAGTGTGTCTGATCTGACTCATTTATCCTTTCAGAACTGCGTAAGGTAATTGCAGTAACAAACAAGTCTTCATCTCCTGTTTTGACATATCCTACTAGTACTTGCAGTGCCCTCTACTGGCTATAGTACCTGACTGACCAAAGAACTAAAATACCTATAAAATCAACCTGCAAACACTTTTATGTGTACTGAAAAACATGACCTTTGTATCATCTGTGAAACTACAATGTCTAAAATACTAACTCCCCACGAGTCTCCCAATGGTAAGGTTATGTTAGTGTTGTTTTCTTTCTTTTTTAGGTGAAGTTCAGTGAGTTAACCATCGATATGTTCCGCATGCTTCAAGCTTTGGAGAGGGAACCTGTAAACTTGGCCACACAGACCTCCAAACAAGGAACGCTGGTGGGTGTTATGCCTGAAGAGTAGAGTGGTGGAGTGTTTTTGTTGTTGTTGTTGTTGTTTTAGCACATTTTTATTATTAATAATGCATACAATTTCAATTTCACATATACACATATTTTACATTTATCAACCTCTCCTCCAAACACACCCCAAATCCATCTGAAAACTCCCCTCCCCTAAACGGTACATGTAACACAACAAAGTAGTAGTTCGCAAGCATGGTGGCATATCATAAAGAAACAAAACATACAGTTAAATATATATTTGAATAATAATACCGACAACAAAGCCTCTTTCAGCATTGAACCATCATTTCTTGGTCTAGGAAGTGCCTTCCAGAAAATATTTTTATTTTTGGTCCCACACAGTCAAATATGATTATGATGATGATATATGATGAAATGTACCAGTTTTACCTTTAGACCAGTATGTCCGGTATTCTTTAGGTAGAAGATTAAGTATTACCTTTTGCCAATCTAGGAGTGTCGGTGGCTTATTTGAAATCCATTTCAGTAATATACCTTTGTGTGCAGCATATATTAACACACTCAGAAAATTTTCTTCCCTCCAGATGTATATTTTTTCTTGAACGCCAAATTTAACTTTCAAACAACTTTAACCCAGAAATTCTGAAAATGTACACATGTCCATATAGTATGTATGAAACTATCAACCTCCTTTTCAATTCTCGGAATATTAGCACATAAAAAACAATTTTCTTTGAGTGAAGTTATTAATTATTTGGGGACACTACACTGTGTAAGAGTGAATTTACTGAATATGCCCATGTTAAGCAAAAGCACATTTTTTCCAAACTATGCATTGTGGTATAACCAACAGGAGACTGTTGATGTGTAAAGTGAATTTGGGGACACTAGACTTTATAAATTTGGGGACACTAGACTTTATAACTGAGTGAAGTCATTGAATATTTTTGTAGAATCTCTTTGCGGTGTTGCACTTTGTGGAAGGACCCTGAGCACTCAATGTTTTTTTTTTTTAATCCAGTTAGAGGATGGCTAGTTTTGATGAAATGAAGCTCATTGTCTCAGTTGGAAAGAGGCGTCATTTATGTTCAACAATGTTTCACTTATGAGTTATTTCACTGGGTTGTTCAAATCTTTGAATATCTTTCCAACTGCTTTAGGCAGGCAGCTGCTGTCCCCTCTTCCCTGTACTGCTTACTGGCACTGAACCTTTTAGAGGTACAGAGTACCAGAGTTTACCAGCTTCCATTCACCCCTGGTTATAAGTTTATATGGCAAAGAAATACACTGAAGCTCACAGCTACTCAGAACATTATGAAATACACACAGCACGGCATGCTTCTCTCACAGCCTGCTCCCAGCAGAGCCCTAAAGCTCTGCCCCCACCTCTGCACAAAGCCACAGAGCGCTACTCGCGTTTTTATTCAGAATTTATCAATATTGGAGGTGTCATGGATCCACACAGCACCAAATTTGAAAATGCACATCATTGGGTCCCCACTCCCCAGTAATACATCTGCTAATACATCTGTGAAGTAGATCAAATGAACAGTTCTTGAGGTATGCAAAGGACAACCAGACAGACAGACAGAAATTCCTTTCTGTATGGTTAGATATCCAGAGACTTAATTTAATTTATCAATAACATTGATGGCTGAGGCAAAAGATATTTTCGGTTGTGTGATAAACAGTAAAACATCGTCCGCATATAATGACATCCTATGTTGTTTTCGAGTGACATACCATGAATATTGGGATGGGGTCTGATAGCTTCCGCTAGCGGTTCAATTGCAGTTGCATGTAACAAAGGCAACAGGGGGCACCCTTGTCGTGTGGCCTTTCCCTTACCATTTGTGACAACAGCCCCTAACAGATTGTGGTATAACAACTTATTCAGAGCAGAATATTCCAAGCAAGGCAACTGTAAACATGTTATGTCTCATACATGATGCAGTCTGTCTCAGGGCCAATCAGTAGCAAATACCTGTATGTCACCATGTTTTCGCCTGTAATCGCAGCCCTGTAATTATGCTATAAGTGTGTGCTGAGTGAGATACTTCATTCTTTCAAGAGTTGCGTCATTCCCCACGGGTATCTCTTAGGTTGACAAACATGATGAACTAATGAAGACATAATTGCCTCCTAGAAGTCTGGTTACCCTGCCATACTTAAAGTAAGCTGGACGTCAGTACAAATAGTTATTATATAAAATATTTTTCCACAGGAACCCAATGAGAAGCCAGCTAAAAGAGAAAACCCTCACAAGTATTTGCTGTACAAGCCAACATTCAGCCAACTTTTTACTTTCCTGTCTGCATCTTTTAAGGTCAGTATTCACTTAAATCAAAGCCTTTCTGGGTTAAATACCGCTGAAGTTAATGGTCTATTATTACACATGCAGTATCACCAAGGTAATATCAAATGTACAGTATCTGTCATCCTCCAGGATTACAAGTGTTGTTTGACATTGTTGCTATTTAGATTCTCACCTTTCCACTGCAATATTTGTGTGACATCCAAATGTTTTCCAGTGATTTTCTCATTTTAATGAGAGAACATTGATTGGTGTCACAGGGTCACAATCCCACTTACTGACTGGGGGAGATTTTCATATCTGGACCCATATTTGGTCAGATTTTCTCTTCTCTGCACCCCCTACCCATTATTCTATTTTAGTTTAACCTAATAATTTCATGTCAGCATGCAAATCACATGTAGCACTCACATCTAACCCTGTATCTTTGCTACACTGTCTTTTTCCGCCATCGCCCTAATTTTCAGGAACTGCCTGCCAACAGCGTTCTGCTTGTCTACCTGTCAGCTACTGGAGTCTTCCCTACTGGCCATTCAGATTATGAAGGTATTAAAGCCCATGTTTTCTTTCTAATATCATATGGAATTTTAATGGAATATGGACATGCCACCAAACTGTTTAAATTGTTAGGTTTTTTTTTAATTTTTGAAAATAATTATTGATTAATTTACAACATATCTTATGATACATTGGCAACCTAACAGGCAAAGGCTGTCTAAACATGGGCGTTGTCTTATTGTATTATCTTAGTTTAGCACTGAGCCTCTTAGGGTGCTTTCACACCTGTAGTTGGGTTCATGCTAACCAATGTAGTGTGGAGCTGCAGTGAAAGCTATGATCTCAGTCATACTTCTACTGTTATTATACACATATGACTATTGTCACACATGTATACTGCCAGATATTAATACATACTTTCAACATATTGTACCACAGTAGCCAGAACTATAAGTTCTGTTGTAAGCTACTGTTATTACCTGCATCTCTCTCTCTGTCTCTCTCTCTGTCTCATTGTGTCATACGGATTACTGTTAATTTATTATGCTGATCTGTTCTGTACGACATCTATTGCACGTCTGTCCGTCCTGGAAGAGGGATCCCTCCTCAGTTGCTCTTCCTGAGGTTTCTACCGTTTTTTTTCCCCGTTAAAGGGTTTTTTTGGGGGAGTTTTTCCTTATCCGCTGCGAGGGTCATAAGGACAGAGGGATGTCGTATGCTGTAAAGCCCTGTGAGGCAAATTGTGATTTGTGATATTGGGCTTTATAAATAAAATTGATTGATTGAATTGATTGATCTCTATGTCACAGTCACTCATGCCTTTTCAAATTAAAGAAGTTGAGCTTTATCTTTGAACATTTCCTGTAGGACCATACGATTTTGGAGGAGTGCTCACAAATACAAACCGCGATGTGGTGAACGGAGAGACGGTGCAGAAGAGGAATCAGGCTCAGAAAGAAATGCACTGGTGATTATTGATCTAATGTATTTATTATACCTAACCCAAGAGGAAAATCAGTTTGCTTGTTGTGACTAATGACAAATCACATTTATCTGACTCAGTCAGATGTTTGATGGCTGCCCACTCTTAATGTTAATCACAAGTGTAGAATCTCTTACCATGTGTTCAGCAGTGCAGAAACTCACCATAGATTTGCTGCGATAGAAATGTAGGTTCCTGACATTTACTTGTTTGTTATGTTGCAGCCTTCATCCAGGAGATTTATTCCCTTTCACCCGGAAGCCACTTTTTGTCATTGTGGATTCTTCAAACAGCACAGCCTACAAGGTATGTAAATAGGTTAAGCTTCCTGGAAAAAAAAACCCAAAACCACACACATCCATATCAGAAGTTTTCAAACTGTGAGGAAGAGTTGAAGAGGCAACATGGAGGGAGAGACGTAAGGCAGAGACACTGTGTGAGATGACAAGAATAGGTGCATGCAGGTGTCCTAAACACAACAGGAAGTTAGTTATTGTAGTCTGACTGCCAATTTTGCTACTCACCAACAGAGTCAGCATTTGCAGCAGTGGCTGTGACACACAGGCAGTGTTTCCCCTAGTTTTACAGCTTAAAGGAATCATGGTGTTCATGTGTTTCTTTTAACAGCAGCAGTAAATATAACAACTGAACAATTATTTGAACTGTACATTGAACTAAACATCGAAACGTATCTTCTTCACCATCTTGACCACCCTGGGAGTGTTTAAAAAAAACGCAGATATTTTTGTTGCTTTTCAGGTGGTTATATATTTTCCTAGCTGGTGTGTGTGTGTGTGTGTGTGTGTGTGTGTGTGTGTGTGTGTGTGTTTGTGTGGGCTGAGTACAGAGAGCAGAGGAGAATTACAAACGTGCGACCATATAGAAACAGAAATGACATGCTTGGAGTCACCAATCAACTGATTAGATTTTAGTGGTCATAGGTCAAGGTTGCTGTGACCTTGCATGCATCTCATTCTCGTGAACACGGCACAAATGAACGAATGTCATATGTCACTCTGACCTCACAAAACATGTTTTTTGGCCGTAACTCAAAAATTTATATGTGTATTATGACAAAATTTCACACAAATGTCAAAATACTGAAGTGAAGACATTTTATATCCAAAAGGTCAAAGGTCAGCTCCACTGTGACATGGTAATGTTCTACAAAAAAACTTTCCTGCGCATTACTCAATATCATATCTCACGAGCCGAACGGGAGACAGTTTTTCAGACACTGACATGATGTGTGTAAAGCATCCAGGTTTTTCACAGGCATGGATGTAAATAGTAAATACAACTAAATAGCTGTTTCTGCATACAACAGCAAGCTGGCAATACTAGTTTTTAGTTGCTCTGAATGTTTATTGATGGGTGGGGGGATATTAAAACCTGATGTGTACATGATATGATCACACTGCGAATGTATATTCTTATAATTAATGTGGCTTTTTCTGTCTTTTGTTTCTCCTAATAGCATTTCACAAATCTGTTTGGCCAGCCTCTGGTGTGCTTACTATCACCTACAGTATATCCCAAGAGTGTGCAAGGTGTGTGTCACTGTAGACCAACAGTTCATTTAATGATAAGTCTGTTGATATTCTATATTTTGTTATGTGTTAATCTGTCTCTCAGTGCTTTCTGACCTCCCTACCCTCTCGGTAGCACTCAGCCCCAAGCCCACTACTTGAGACATTTTTAAAAACTGGCCACAGCCACAGCTGGTCACTGTAGTTTTTGTAAAACATTACTCAAACAGAAGGAAGTAGTGCCTTTGTTGGGGACAATTTTCAGCTTTGTGTGTGTGTGTGTGTGTGTGTGTGTATATATATATATACATATAGGTGTGTGTATGTATATATGCATGTGTACTGTGTACTTTTTGCATAGAAAATGCAGAAATGTGGGATTTAGAAGTCAGTCCTTCTGATATCTGTTAACCTAAATCTTAGATATTTAGGTTTTTAAAATGTATGTATTTTATGATATACTCAGATTTTTAGGTTGATTCTATTAAATGTAATTGTTAAAGTTAGTGAGCTGCTTCTTTCACAAGGTTTTTGGGCTCCATGTATATGTGAACATGGAGAGAGAATGTGTCTCATGTTCTCACTTGTTATCTGTGCCATGTCTCTGCTCACCTGTTTAGATCAGTCTCAGCGTGGGAGTCTCTTCACTTTGTTCCTCTACAGCCCACTCCTGGCTTTCTCCTCTGTTTGTGGCTTAAACAGCGTGCAGCGAGGCCTGTGGGAAAGGGCTCAAGAATTTCTTCGTAAGGTCTACCGAGACATCGGGCAGCTGATAACTCGATCACGGACCATAGGTAGCACATCTTTCGTAATTTTCATAACCTACTAACAGACATAAAAGAATAGAGTGGACATGGTCAAGGGTCAAGTCTCTGTAACCTCATCTGTGTCATTCTTGTGAACGTGATATCTCAATAATACCTTGAGGGAATTTTTTCAAATTTGGCACAAACGTCAAACCCAAAAAGTCAAAGGTCAACTTCACTGTGACATTATAATGTTCTTCATAAAACACTTTTCTGGCCATTATTAACAGGAGGAGAGACATTTGGTCAGATATTGAAATTGGTGACACTAATCTTGGGTGTCCACCTTGAAACTGTGCTGATTGTATAGATCTTCTGTGCTGTCAGGGGGACAATGGGTGTGAAACATCCATGTTTTCACAGACACGGATGTAAACTGGAAGAGAAACTTGACTGGTGCATGGAGGCATACAACTGCGAGGTGATCAGTCTAGTTTAAGCTCTTTAAGCATTTTTTTTCACTGTCTCCACAGATCAAGCCTTTTTGCAATTCTTTGGTGACGAGTTCCTTCGGCTGCTGCTGATCCGCTTTGTGTTCTGCTCAGCTGCACTGAGATTGCATAAACTCTTCCGGGTAAGTCATCGCTGCTGTAGTTTCATAAGGATGTTGCCATGTTTATTTGAAGACTAATAATGCATCGTATGGTTAAGAGCCCCGCACTCAGTCTTGTGCTCTTGAGCATTAATACGCACCATCAGGCACACAGCGAAGTGTGTCCCACTTCTGAAAAATGCCAACACACAATATACTTAACCCACACTCGATGCACACTTCAGAGCATCTTTTCAGAGATAAGTGTAACCCACAATTCATCACAGTCTACTGCACTACATTGCATAGTTGCTACTGGTAATACACCTACAAGCTGATTTGCTGATCACCATCACTCTATAAGAATGTCATAAAGAAATTAAAGTTAAGTATTTATCCTGCTTTAGAATTTTAAAGGCAAAGGTTAGATTTTTTTGAGAGCACATCCTGTGATCTGTGTGGTAAAATACTGAAACAAAGTAATTTCATTTTATTCATTTGGCCTGTAGGTTTGGTTTTTATGGGTGTTTATCACTTAAAATCTGTCCTACTCATACATGATTTTCATAAATTAGAATAACAGTCTAATGACATTGTTAGTATAATTTTTATCTTGCATATCGTATCATCTATACTTTTCTAATTATGTTGATGATTTTAAGAAATTATTTCCTTAAGAATACTATAGTAAAGGTATGCCAGTACAAAATCAGTGCTTTTCTTTCGTCAACGTCATAGTTGCCAAGTATCCTTTCTTACTTTGTTCATTAAGATTTGCATTATTTCAAATGGGTTTGTTAAAGGAACCTAAAACTTGATTTGGAAACATGTTTTTTACCACCATAGAAAACCATAGTGATTCACTGTGCAAAGCATTTGATGTTACAGAAAATATGACTACAGTTCCCTAGACTTTTCTTTCACAAGTCCAGCTCCTAGAACAGTATTGATATTTCAGTTTGATGCAGATAAAATCAGGGCCCACAGAAACAACAAAGCCTTGAAACATAAACTGCTTTGACGATACCAAGTATTGTACACAGTGTAAAGATAACATGGGAATCTCACAGCCTTAAAGTAAATATTTGAGCTATTTAACCCCCCAACAATCAGCTCTTTGTGTCCAGTTGTGTGTTCAGAACATGAATTTCAGGCTAAGGTGCTGCACACAAACATCACTTTTCTTCCTCTCTTGGAATCAGCCTCTAGGAAGGTCTGTGATGAAAAATCCAGCCAAATGTGCAAGTTTTACCTGTAGTACACTTAACCGAAGTTTCCGGGGCAGCATTTCCAGCATGTTTGGGGCTTTCTCCCTTGCAACCAAACCATGCTGCATGAACTGTTTTAAAATGAGCCATTAAAGCCCTGTAAATGTAAATGTTCCACCTTAAAAGTTGCCAGCAGTCAGCCCAGTGAATTAAGTTATTTTTTTCTCAGACTACAGCTGCTGCGAGAGGCAGCAAAACATCCTTTAATTTTATAGTTATAGTTTACTAATGTATGTATGACTTGCCATGGTATGAAAAGTGGTTACATAAGCCTCAAAACCAGCCATTACTCAGCCCTGAACAAGAATGACCATTTTCTACAGACCAATCAACGGACTGCAGTGTCTTTAGTTCCACATTTTATTATCAGATCTGTGTGCTAGGTACCCTAACAGAGGAGTGACCAAAAATGGGGACGGTTAGGAATGGTTCCATTGGTACCATCCACAACTTTCCACAGTGGAAACGGGAAAAAAATGCGTACCGAACTGAACTGTACCGTACCGTACCGTACCGGAATCTTTGGGTGGAAACGGGGCTTAAGAGACCTCCATCCACAGCGAAGCACTGAACTATTCATGTGAGCCAGTGATGATAGAAAAAAACTTTTTTGAATTAATAGTATTTCTTTAAAGCATGTTTTTTTGTCATATATGCCAGAGTCAGAGGTGATTGATGTTGTGTTTGCAGGAGTCCCAGAGCTTCCCAGAGTCGTACCCTGAGCTCCCTAAACAGGACACAGTTGAGAGTAGCCTTCTACAGAAGCATATTTTGGAGCTGGCGACCATGCTGGACGTGCAGAGCCTATTTTGGGATGATCCACTGGAAGCCTACTAACATCTCCACACAGGGCAAAATGGCATACGTGTACATACAGACTCAACTGCCAGAGCCCTCACCGTTGTCTCTCTGTTTTTGTTTTTTGTTCTTGTTTTTTACAGGTAAAGAAAAAAACTGATTCTGCACATACACATTCATGTCCTGCATTTAACTGTTACCTGTGGAAGCAAATGTAGTGCAACATTAAATTGTTCACATAGATAAGTCAGAGAGTTTAATATAGTATCAATTCCCCATTTTGAGTGTCAGCGGGTTGCCTCATAAATATAAGTATCACGTAAGACATAAGAGTAAACAAACAAGTGAGACGCCGCAGATAACATTTTTACTCACCAGTCCCCATCCAAATGCAACAGCTGCAGCCCCAAACTGTATTCTTCATATCAGATATTTGTCGTCAGTCTTGGTTTTGTGTTTTTTTTAATGATATTTATCATTGTTTATTAGAGTGCAGGTTGTGTGAGCCTTAAGGATAGAGAATGGAGAAATCCTGGGCAGCTTCCAGGTGTGACCTTATCTATCTATCAAAGCAGGGTGGTGAACACAGAGAGAGAGAACACAGTGCTAAGCATCAATAAATATTCAAAACAAACATAATGTTAGCACATAATTCGCACACTGGGTTGGAATTTGAAAGAGTTCACCAAAAGTGTTATAAATGGTATTGCCAAACAGTGCTTGCAGTTTAACAGCTCAAGTTGTAGCAGGCTGAGGTGCATGAGGTCATGTTCGTTTATAGGTCTTATTAGTTGTAAAGATATCACACTACTTTGTGGCATTAACCAGCAATCCATCCAGTACCTTTAATCGACCATTGTTTTGGCTTTGTGCGTTTATGAAAGTGGCCGTTATTGCTTTTCCATATCACTGTGCTGTGTTTGCATGCAAAAAGGCAAAGAATTGTACCCATTATGCTGTTTTATTCACGGAGAACGGCCACCAGCTTCAAGGCTTTAAAAAGGGTTGTAGAATTTAAAATGGCATGGGGTTGGGAAGTAAATGGAGCCTGTGCATGTTTTACAGGGGCCTGCACATTTGTAGCTGTGTCAACAAAAGACAATCTAGTTTGTTAATAGAAGAGATGAAGGAAGCTAGCGTGATATGCACACCAACGTTTTTTCACTAACAGCATGCTCCAGTCCATTTATTACTTAAGACCTAGACACACCAAACCCACCGCAGCAATTAAAGCTGACTGTTCTGTCGCCTCACGTCACCTGTGTCTTGGCCTACAAGGCTGCTGCCAACGTTAAAACAGCACTTACGTTCTGCACCTGTGTGAGAGAACATAACTCTCCACAACAGCAGACAGCCGTAGTCTGTAATCATCGTTTAAAAAGGGAAATTGGAAATTGTTATTTTTTGGAGGGAGGTTACCTTACATAGATAGGAAAGCCTAGCTTGTAATGGGAGGAGAGAGAAGGGATGATACGCAGCAAAGGGCCAGAGATGGAATTGAACTTGCAGCAAACGTCAAGGACACAGCCCCCACATATGGGGTGCCCGCTCCATCAGGTGAACTCATGGGCACTCCATCAGAAGACCGGCTTGACACTAGTTAACCAGTTAAGCGCATCAACAACTAGGCCCCCCATGTGCAGGGGCTGTGTCCTTATTCCAATTTAAGATGCTAAATCAGCTGAAAATCACTTCCACACTGTCGGCCTTTGTCAGTGTTGTTTCAGCTGACTGAACATGTTGAATCTGTGTCGGCACAGTGGAGCCCATAGGTGAATGTACTCATTCTTGTTGGCAGTTGAGCTCAACGCATGAGAAAAGAAACAGAGGTGAGGAAAGTAAACAAAGAGCTAAAGTCGAGAGGGAGTTAGACCAAATCAAACTTGTTCCGAAATTTAGCCAATGAGCTCTTAAGCAGAAACGTTTCCTGATGGCTTGTGTTGTTGTTCACTAATGAACGGTGCTCAATTCTTTCAACACTGGATTGTGTTGTTAATGTGCTAACGGCAGGGTTCCCACAGTCATGAAATTCCGGGAAAAGTTGTTTGTCAACTGTTTGTTTGTTGTGGTTTAGAATTAACAGAACATTTGGGAAGGTTTGGAATATACATTGCTCTGGCTGTCGTTTAAAATATGTATATAAAAATCCTAAAACATGACTAACACTACACAAAATGAGTTACTTGTTTATTAATGTAAAATCTAGTGTTGTGTTGTGTGACTGCTGAAACGTCACTAATAGCACGATAAACATAGACCATGATCATTACCAAGGCCGCACCCCCTTTTGGAGTATAGAATCCCACACATCAGGAGAGACACAGGAAAATGCAAAAAAAACTGTTGCATAGCAGGTTAACCAAGGCTTTCACAATGAGATTTTAGGCACATAAAATCTGTGAATATTCACTGTCAGTGTGGTAATTAGCTTAATGATGTTGGTGACAGTATACTGAAAGATGGCTAATATTAGTTTGAGTAGGAAACCATTTTTTAACAAGAAAAAAATGCATACGAACTTGTCAAAATTTCATTAAAACACGTCAAATTCCAGTGACATCCACAGGACCCTCAGTTCTCTATGCCCCAAAAAGAGGTGCGTCCTTCAGTTTTGGTGAGTTGCCTGTATGGGCCAAAATCATGAACATGGCGTAAAATATTTTTCAAAAGTTATGGAAAAGTTTTAAATATAAACTGGTAAAAATTTGTGGGAACCCTGTAACTGGCTAACTAGAGTCAAGACGGTCTTCCGGTTTCCCTCTTTGAATGATGAACTAACGCCATCTTCCTGTGTGGAGTTATTTCCTCTGATGCAGAACATACGTGCTGGTTGGCCATCGGCTGTGGTCTTTGCAGTGTGTTCATGTGCAACTTTTTGTCTGAGGCACAGGCAACATGAGGAGACGCAGCAGGAGGCTTTTGGTGCCAATAGTTCTCTGAAGTTGGTTTAGTATGTCTGGGCCTTAAATGACACCAAACCTGTCTAAGTGCTGACAGTATTATCATGTTACCTGCCAGTTGCTTGAATAGAATAATATTTTTACCACCAGTCATCTTTCTCCTGCAGTCAGTTTTCTTTCCTGCCAGATGGGTTTTGTTTTTACCATTAATCCACTGCTTGAAGGGTACAGAAGCTGCCATCTTTGTCAGTTACTGACACCATAAAAAAATCAAATTCAGTAACGAGAGAGGAAGCTAATACAACCCAGGACCTTTATCATCATTCATCCCTCTGTCTCCCAGTCATTTTAGTCTCCACTTTCAACTCTAAAAATTTCCTAGAACTCACAAATGTAATAAGAATCATTCTGCAGTGAGTCCAAGAAGTATCAGACTCTAGAACGCTTGAGCTTAGCTTTTAAAATAGCATGCGGGCTACGCCAGCCAGCACTTCCAGAGGCATTGTCATTGTGTTTTCAAACACTTCATGTAATGTTGGTTTGAGTTTTGTTATGCAGTATAAAGTAGCATTTCAGTGGACATCAGTAGTCCTCTGCCAGACTGGTGCCAGAAATAAATCCCCCATGATGTCTCACAGTACCGACATTTCTTTCCACACTCATCACAGCTGATTGCAGAATTAAGAGATGTGGTTGGTGGAGAGAAGATGTACTTGTTGATGGAATTTCCACAATCAACAGATAATTTCTTAATTTGAGACTAAATCAGTGGTTTGCAAATAACATTCAAACAATTTATTGATTTTATATTTTAGCCAGTTTCATGTTGCTGGATTGATCAGAGGGTATGTGGGTTTCTGAGTAGTTATCAGTAAAAGGCACTGCTGTAATCTTCATTTTTGTACCACTAGCAGAGATGCCCACATGGCAGTGTCTGTTAGCATGTTTCCGTGCAATACTTTGACCTTTAGAATGATATTTCAAATACCCTCTGAAATGCTAGAAAATCACTGATTTGCTGAAAACTATATTTTTAAAAGATTTTGATACCTGCTCAGACATTTGGTCAACATGAGGACTCTCCAAAACTGACCAGATTTCCACACTTTCCTGTGCCTGTCCATGGTCCCCAAATAATGAATACAAATTTTGACAAAATTTGCCCGTTGACCTTTAGTGCCATATCTAGACAAAGATGTTAGTTTGCATGCAAGATATTTCATAATCTAACAGACTGGCAATTCCTCAGATACTGAATACTGAGATACTTAATTGGTGACACTAATCTTGGGTGCCCATCTTCAAACTGTGCTGATTGTATAGATCCTCTGTGCTGTTGAGGAGATAATGGGTGTGAAGCATCCATGTTTTTACAGTCATGGATATAAACTGTAAGAGAAACTTGACTGGTGCGGTGCGCGGAGGTATACAACTGCAGGGCAGTAATACTAGATTTTTATCTGTATTATTATAAGACCAAAGACAAAAATCAACAGTGCATTAGTCCATCTGTCGGTACTTCTCCCTAAACTACCTGTCCGTCAAGCCCATTGGCTCCTACTAAAGAGTAGAGTTGGGTCGATTTCCGGTTTTGGTAACATTTTTGATTTGAAGCTGACAAAAGAGGCATCGTAACTGGCCATGAGTGTCATGTTGCACTGTTTGGACTTGAACTTTTATTGTATGCCCTGTTTCTATTTATCCCTGTTAATCGCTTTGAAAGCTCTGCAATGGACGAGGAATAGAGGCTTCATGTTAAAATGAAACATTATCTAATGATACCTTCTCATTTCACTACAAAACCTAAATAAAGTGACAGACTGCAGGGAGCTAAAAAAATTTTTGGTAATGACCATTACTAATAACAGCTTATTTGCTGTTGGTGTAATTGTAGTCAATTTCAGTAATTATCACAGTATAAACCATGTTAAAAAGTACAAAGGTAGGAGAAATAGACCATCCATCATTTACATTTTATTAAGGCCCAAAGTTACGCATATTTAGGGGCGGGGCCACTTGAGTGACAGGCTGTCCGTGAGGTATTGCCACAGTCGTGGTAACATTACAAAGACTGTGTGAGTAACATTACAAGTAAATGTTCCACCTTAACTGTTGCCATCAGTCTGCCCAGTGAATTAAGTTATTTAATTTCTCAGACTACAGCTGCTGCGAGAGGCAGCAAAACATCCTGTTATTTTGTAGTTCATTAATATGTGTTAAACTTGCCACAGTATGAACAGTGGGTACATAAGCCTCAAAAACAGCCACAACTCAGCCCTGAGCAAGGGCAACCATCCACTAGTGACCAATCAACGGACTGCAGTGTTTTTAGTTCCACCTTTTAGTGCCAGATCTGTGTGCTAGGTACCCTACCCTTTAAAAATTGTTCGTTTGTTTTTTTATAGCCCCATTTCTAAAAAGGGTCTTAGAAAAGCTAAAAGCTAAGTACGTAGTTTCTTTTCTCCAGGACTACTGTAGCTCCTGTGCTTCAGGCCTCAAATTTCTATTTGGACACTTTCATATGTTTTAAAATATGCTCCACATCAAAACATCAACCAAATAAAAAGTTTAAGTGTTTGTTATTGGGGATTTACTTCTGACACCAGCAGGGGGTGATTGCAGACTGCTGTAGTGATGCTGATACTGAAACCAGCTGACAGTTAACTGCCCTTAAAAAAACGTATAAATGATGCAGTGATGCAGGAAGTAGCCAAGCCAGCTGGTTGGGGGTTGAGATTTTTGAATTGACAGAAATGATAAGAGGAACACTATTTTTTAGTGTTAATTATATTTATTGACATTGTTAGAGTATGTGTACAGATAATGTAAGCAATGTTTTGGCACAGATGTGTTTGTTCAGTATTTAGTAAGTCTATAAAATGTGTAATGAAATATGAAATTGAAGTTGAGGAGGAGTGAAATGTTAATGAGGCCAGTTTGTTCTTTGGCCATTTTTCTAAACATGTTACATTCCAACTTTCCGAGGACTTGAAGAGAGGCAGAGGGAAACTACCGCTGTTTTCTCCATTTTACATTAGTCTGGGAAAGTGAGCCGTTTCTACGTTTTCTTCTCTTTTCACTGTAATATCAACCTCCACATTCCCTTGTGTTGACATTTATGATGTTTAAGATATTATGGGCTCGCACTTTATGAACTTAAATATTGTTATGATCTTGTTTGTTGTGCTTTAGGGGGGGGAAAAAAAGAAAATCCTTCCATGTGATTGTTCTTCATGCCAGCCCTTCACACTGGTGACCTTTTTTTACAAAGAGTAAAAGTTGTGTGAGTCAGTGATTTTAAACATTTTCCTGTCGGGACTTTTCATCTGCCGTCACTTTTTTAACAGCCTCTGCCTGAAATGTGTCGAATATGTTGACTGATTTCCAAAACATGTTGAATAGGCTGCAATAACATGTTCATTTACATGTGTGGCGGAATTAGAAATCCTTGCGCTTTGTAGCCAGTGGTGCTCTAAAACAGTGCTGTTGATGGAGACTGCTGCATCAATCATGATTTTTTACTTTACAAAGAAATTACAGTAAAAACATGCTTGGACATCATCTATCAGGACAGAAGAAGTAATCATTTAAACTGTCAAATATTGCAAGTTGACAAGTTTGTAATCTCAAAAACTCATGTTAATATGTTTCTAACATCTTATTGTATAGTGTGTTCCCTGAACTCAGAATCCATGAAAATATCAAATATGTGGCCAAATGGCCCAAAAAAGCATTACTGAATGGAAAATAACCCCAGACAGTGAAGTGACACTGGACTCTGCTCACATTTATCACTATTAAAGAATCAAATAACTAAACCAGATAACTTTTAGCTTCTGTTGAGCCTGTATGCTGTAGTGATGTCTTCTGTGCTTCATATTTAAAACAGCGCCATGTACACAACCAGTTAATTTATTATGTAGCACCAGTGGGGTCATTAGTGCAGAAAAAAAAGGATGAGTTTCAGTTTGCTGTACTCCCTCACGGACTCCTTACACAGAATTGTGTATTGTGGGTGTGTGTGTGTGTGTATAGATATGTTTTTTTTTTTATTTATTTCATGTTCTTAATTTGACATCAGCTACCCAGCAGCATATGGAGCATGGTGCAATAGCATGAATTGATTCTGTATGATGAAAATGGCTTTTCCTGCTTCACATAATGTGATGGGTTTATCAGCGACAGAGCCCCTGAAGTCCTGAAAGATCTTAGTGAGAAATCTTACATGCACAAGATACCTTGTGCAAATAAGATATACATTTATATGTACACATTGAATTGTGTAAACAGATATTTATTTGTGCAAAGGAGACAATTTGTGAAAGAAAGATAAGAACTTCTGTGAGCAAGATATCAATTTGTTTAAACCAGATAACGTCTATGAGCAAGATGACCTGTGCAAATGAGATGAAAACAACATATAACTTTTAGGAACAAGATATGAAGTTGTGTGAACAAGATAAGTGTAAACAAGATAGCTCATATGAACAACATATTGATTTGTGGGATTACGATTTAACAAGATTTAAAGGGTTAATTTGGATTATTTGAAGTTGGGTTGTATGGGGTACTTATCCATAGTTAGTGTATTACATACAGTAGATGTCAGTCAGCACACCCCCAGTTGACGCAGTGTGACAGAAGCTAAGCAATCTACTGCTGTGGAGGGGTCAGCAACAAAACATTTTAGCCACCTAAAAAAAAAGTCCATCTAAAAAAAAAAATCAGTATGACTTTAAATGTGCACTATATTTAGAATAGTTTCACTGCTTTACCTTTCTGTCAGCCCATTTCAAGGGGGAAGCCGTTAATGGCTTCAGTTCCCTAGCCACCAGACTCCATTGATAAAAACAGTAACTTTAGCTCACTGAACACAGGAGTGGCTGGTCTAGAACTTCTTCAGTCGGTTAGTTTGTGTTACTGTGTGACTTTGGTGAATCTGATCTGAGCCTTCTAAACACCAAAGTCACACAGTAACACAAACCAACTAACTGATCGAGGCAATGGTAGACCAGCAGCTCCTGTGTTCAGTAATGTAAAATCACTGTTTTTCTCAGTAAAGTCTGGCGACATAAGGCTTCATTTTCCCATTGGAAATCACTGTCTGCCATTCAGGTAAAGCAGTGAAAATATTCTAAATATAGTGCACATTTAAACTGATACTGTTGTTGTAGGTGGAACTTTTTTTTTAGGTGGCTAAAATATGTTTTGTTGCTGACCCCTCCACAGCAGTAGATTGCTTAGCTTCCATGATGGACTTAAGCCAGCTTCTCCAAACTTGGGGTGTGCCGACTGACATCTACTGTATGTAATATACTGTCTTTTGATAAGTACCTCATACAACTCCAAAATCATCCTTTTAATTTGTAGTAAGGAGATACTAACTTGTTCAAGCAAGATATGAATTTGTGTGAGCAAGATATCAACAAGATCACTGATGTGAATGTGTGCAAACAAGATATTTAATTGAGCAAACAAAATGATTGATCTTTTTGTGCATATGAAGTAATGATCAGATGTTGGAGTTGGTGGCTGATTTACAACATCATGCAGAGTTCATACTGTACTCATATGGGATCATTTAGGCTTATGTGAAGTGGCCACTGTGACAAACCCAAGATACAAGGCTTTTTTCTCTGCTCTGCTGCCATCACAGAGTGTTCAAAGATATTTCAAGTGATTCATGTCTTGTAACCTGATTTAGCCTTATTGAATATGTTGGACACTGATTTCTGATTTGTTTTAATTTTTTTTTTTTTTTTTTTTGAGAATTTGGGGAACCAGATCATACCCCCATTGCATTCCTGGACCCATATGGGGATTTTTTTGTTTTGTTTTTTTCTTATTCCCATGCATAACTGAGATGTTTCAAGCAGCTACAGTGAAGTCTCCTAGCAGAAAGTGTCTCAACTATATAAATCATCATCTGTAAATACCAGTTTTTTGCTGCAGCCCCATAGAGTCAGTGTTTTTTTCCCTTAAGCTGCCAATGTGCTCTTTTGTCCAACATTCATACCGAGATGTTTCACAGAAGAAGCAGAGAGACTAACACGGTTAGAGAAAATAGCAGCAGGGAGGATTTGAAGGCTGGTCTTGGGGGTATCATTTGGTGAGATAGAACCAGTATGAGAATCTACCAGAGCACAAGAAATCTACTTGTTTTTGACATGGACACACAAGCACAAAAGCCATTGCTCCATACAGTGGACCCACATCCGTGGAGAAGCATGTCGCCACCTCTTGGGAAAACGACACAAATAACTGCCGACTGATCAATCCTGTTTTCTCCCCCAGATATGCTGGGGTCATTTCTACCTTTTTATACTTGAGATAATGTCCAAAAGATGGGTGCAGCCTTCCTTTATAGCAACATGTGCAACTTGCTTGCTGTGGTTTTCAGTCATTGTCACTGTCAAATGTATTTTCAAATATTCAGTTAAAAAAATGCACTAATAATTATTATCTCTGTAAGCAGCATGTTTGTTTAGAATAGAAAGTGCCAAAGACTGGTGTACTCTTGCTTTCCCATCTTAACAATGATTGAGATCAATTATTGTATCAGATTTTTTTTTCTGTGTTGCAAGATGGAGCCAATAAAGAAAAAGAAAATTCGGCTTCATTTAAGGACCAAGAAGTGTCTTTATTGTGGGACTGGGAATGATTTAAAAATGCACTGCTTTGTTAGAATTAGTTTGTCAAGACAAGTTAAAAAATGTAGCAATCAAAGTACATACAGACTGATAGTTTAATGGCACCATCAGTTTTAGTTGTTTTTTACATAATGTCTCAGAGTCAAAACAAGAATACAGATTTATCAGACATATAGGGGAGACCAGGGCACAACCTAACATGGGGTAAATTGCACCACAGGCTTTTTAAATGGTTCCACAGGGTCGATCCTTTCATGCTTCCAGCCAGTTGACCACAATACCACCAAACAGTGACCCACAGAATTCCACAGAGATTGGACATGTTTCAGCACAGTTCAGTAACAAAGACTAAAACATAGCTCAGTTTTGAACTATGTAACCAACTCTCAGCAAGTGTTAGCTAGGCTTGATAAAATTTCCACACAGTGGGGTTAGTTAGTGTAACAACTAAGTCACCCATAGCACATTTTCTCTTTTTTTGCACTTCAAACTTATGTTCATTTTGAACTAATGCCCTTAATTAAATGAGATATACTTTGTATTTTTAATTTGTCAGGTATCTTATTGATACACAGTTTCACAGTCTTGTCAATATTCATACATTCAACACTCATATTTTGACATGTGGATCGAGGTTACCCAATCTATATACATCTATGGGTCCAACCATTGAATATGGATGATAGAGTAAAAGATGGATGGATATCTGTATGGATACCTATCCTTCCCCTGATGTAGATGGAGAGATAGGTATCTACGTACATCTATCCATCAATCTTACACATGAAAAGAGAAAATAATATAATAGCCCCACATACTATCCTTCTATGTGTTGATCTTTCCATTTATGAAGCATTGATGGTTAGATGAGGGATGTACAGATGTTTGGATCATCTATCCTATATAAATCCATAAATTGTATCAACCTATAGTATATAGATAGGATTGTATTGAATTAATTTGTGTTCAACGGACTTTTCCAGCAAGTTATAACTAACTAACCCTCTGCCTATTACAATTAACCCCACCCGTGGGATACGTTGTAACATTTCACTTGTGCCACTTCTCAGTGCAATTGTAGAAGAAAAGTAAGATCTAGGAAAAATCAACAGCTGTTCCTAAGTAGCAGAGACATGCATGTTGTTAGAATAAAACAAAAATAATCTCAGACAGTTTTAATAACATTTAGACAAAACTAAAATGAAAAAAAGGTTGTGCCCTGCTCTGACCCAACTGTTTTATAATTTTTATGCCTCTGTGCCAGCAATAGTTGTGGCCAGAGACATCATGATTTTGGGTTGTGCTTATAGACTCAGTCCCAGTCACGTGAAGGCAGTATCTCAAGAACGCCTTTAGGAAATGTCTTCAAATTTGGCCCAAGTGTCAACTTGGACTCAACAATGAAGTGATTAGATTTTGGTTGTCAAAGTTCAAAAGTCACTGTGACCTTGTCTGCCTCATTCTCATGAATATCATATCCCAAGAATGCCTTGAGGGAATTTCCTCAACTTTGGCACAAATGTCTGCTTGGACTCGAGAATGACCTGATTAGAATTTAATGGTTGATGGTTAAAGGTCACTTAGCCTCACAAAACATGTGTTGGTCCATAACTCAAGAATTCATACAATAATTATGACAAAATTGCACACTAATGTCTAATAGGATAAAATGATGACTTTTAATATCTAAAAGGTCAAAGGTCAACTTCCCTGTGACATCATAATATTCTGTATAAAACCCCTTTCTGGCCATTACTCACTGTCATATCTCAGGAACAGAGGGGGAGACATTTGGTAAGATACTGAATTGGTGACACTAATCTTGAGTGTCCATCTTGAAACTGTGCTGATTGTATAGATCTTTTGTGCTGCCAGAGGGGCATGGAATCATCCATGGGTGCAAACTGTAACTGCAACTTGACAGGTTTTGCGGATGCATACAACTGCAAGGTGGTAATTGTAGTCTGTAGGGTGGAAGCTTAGAGCAAGGATCAGTTTGTACATTTAAATGCAGTTTTAGGAAAATAATAAGCTTGAAATGCTGTGTAAAGGGGATGTGGTTGAGCAGTTCCTGATAGTTTAGACTGCTATCTGACTTGCTAACAGTATATTTGTTAGCTAGTGTACTTAGCAGATTATTTTACTATCTATAAAATCTTGCAAAGCTTTATTTTGACCTCTGGAACATGAACTCAGCATTTGTAAAGAATACAAGTTTTTAGGCATGTTCTGTGTATGTCATGGTTACAACATCTGTAATCTGACAGCAGTGGCTGCAAGACCATGAAGGTTTTAGAGAAGGAATGGTCTACATGTTATTCCCTTTAAGTCTATGCCATAGTCAAAGTTCATTTTGATTTTGACGACACAAAACAAATCCAATCTCTCCACCACGTATTACTGACAAGTTCATAAATTGGTTGGCATTATGTTTCCTTTACCAAAGACAATGCTACACTGGAAACATATTTCAAGTTAAAATATCAAACATTCTCAGTTTTATTATATTTATTATAAAACTCTTCGCGTTAAATAACAGAGTGAGAGACTAAATTAACTTGCTGGTGCTGATTGGAGTTGAAATAAGAACGTTTCTCGTGTTCTTTACTGCTCCCCAGTGGCGTACTTGAGTTACTACATTACTGCATTGAATTAGACGCCCTCCACAAGAGGTTTAAATTGAGTCTTTAAGTTTCACTTGATAGCGTGTTTTAGTGGAGAGTACCCCCATGTAAAGATTTTTAAATCAAAAACAGCTTTATATCAGCAGATTTACTCAGCGGGCTAGTAGACTCCATTTCAAAGCATTTTTGTACATCTTCACAACAATGTCCATGCAAAAGCGGGGATTCATCTTTACATGCTGAGTATCTTTGATACCACCGCAGCTTGTTGAGTTCCGTTTGTTGCTAAGAAACGTTAGAATGGCTACTCTGGTCCAATCACGGTTGGAGAAAGATATCACGTGCTTTAAACTGGCCAACCAGAGAGACGTTAGCTGTTGAAGTTATCCAAGCCTCCACTTCAACAAACTGTTTATTAACCCACTTATTTTACCTGCTAAACAAAAAAAGCTGTTCTGCTAATGAGATATATTTCGAAGTCTTGACGAATAGAGTTTGATCTCTCATATGGTAAGACGGAGAATTTGTTAATCAATTGCATAGACGTTAGAAAGTCTGTTGTCGGCTAATGAGCTAAAGCTAATGTCAGGCTAATGTATACAGTTCTTGCTAACCTACGCTGGCTTTTGATTCAATCTTTGAGACTGACACACCCACAATGATCATCTAAAGCTGTCGCCAAAGTTTTAATCTAGGTAGACTAGGTAGGTATAGGTCTAGGTATGGGTTGGAATCGACGTTACTAGCTTTGATTGTTCGTGTAGTACAGGTTAGATTTTACTTTAGTGTCATTGTAGTTGGATAAGCTAGTGTTTGCTGCTAAATTCTACTTTATTTTTCCTTATAGTTTTGCTTACTGTATTCCACAATATTGGATTCTAGTCTATTTCATGAAATAAATCAAAATTCACCCTTAAATATACAACATACACTTAAAAATGACCAAACATCTTTACCGTTCCTTGTGGTTTTGCCATTGAAACTTTGCTTTCATCCATGTTTGATATAACGATTTCACTTTTATCTCGCAAATATACCCCCAGTAACTCCTGTAAATATGTTGTACTCCAGAAATGTCAACCACCGTAAACAGAGGAAAAGCTGGAATATAATGAAATTAGGGCTGCAATGGTATGAGATTGTCATAGTATGATAACCTTCTCAGAAGATATCGCTGTTTCACGGTATCACGGTATTACAGAATTAAATTATTATCAGTCAGAATGACCCTGGAAGGAATGAAAACGGTAGGCTTATTGTTGGTTGTACACACGATTTATTACTATATTTGACATTTTAAGCATTTGTTCATGGAAATATGTGTAAAAAGTCTCCCTTTTGAAAATAACTAAAATATAGGGGAGATTCCTTACGTCAACTGTTATATCATGATATATTTTGAAACTGGTATATAGCTGCAACCCTGAATGCAGCAACCCTCCCACCTCCTCAGAACTCATGTCATCAGTTTAACACTATTTTCTATTGAGAATTTTGTTGTGAAATCAATTGAGGGTCCATGAACAAAGACATAAAAAATAAATCAATAAGCAAACCTAAGATAAGTTAAAATAAACAGAAGAGATAACCAACATGCAAACCAGTTAAACTTCAAAACAACATACAATAACATAACAATTTATAACAGCAAAAAGTTGAGCTACAGGTTGATAAACATGCTATGGAGTAGATGTATAGTTAAAAGTTTTAATTCTCCTTTACCACTGGAATAACTTGAAATAAGGCATCTAAACAAATGTAAAGGTGGCAGAGTGCCCAACTTTAAGGTCTTTTGCAGATTAATCCATGTATGAGGTGCACTGTAAGAGAATGATATTTTTTCCTAGTTAAGTTCTGATGAAGGGAGTGTGAGCGAGTACCGAGATTATGTGAGTTCAGAGTTAAAAGGGATGAAATATAGGGTTGGAGCATCTGTATCAAAGCTTTATAGATGAATAAAAACCAATGCTGATCCCGCCTCAGCCAGATGTAGCCAGCTGACCTTTTGGTAAAGATCGCAGTGGTGGGTGCTATATTATCACAAGTTACAGTATGAACCTCAGGACTGAGTGGTAGACAGCATACAGTAATTTCAATGTAGAGGCAGCAGCTTTTTCATATATTACATCCCCATTATCCAAAACAGATAAAAATACTGATTCTACAGTTCTTTTTCTGTTTAGAAAAGGGAAACAATTCTTATGTCTGTATAGAAAACCAAGTATTGTTCTCAGCTTAATTAGTGTTAATATGGTTAATATGGTTCTTAAAGTTGAGGTTATTGTCCAGCTAGATACCAAAGTATTTACATTGTGGCACTCTCTCTATGAATATGCCATTGTGCGAAATGAATATTGAAAGATTCAGTATGAGTAGCCTTGGTGAACAGCATCCATTTGATTCTGTCTGAGTGTAGACCTACCTTATGGTAATGTAGTTGTAGTTGAAGCAAATCAAATGACGATTGCAGAGATTCACTGGCTGATTGTGCAGATGCTGCAGAACAATATAAAATTGTTTTATGGATAGTAAACACCATGTGTTACCACCAGAGGAAAGCAATGAGAACTCGGTCAAGTTCACCTCCAATTCATGTGCATGTCAACGATGCCACACCAGTCCATGTGCATGTGAAGAGCCAGAGGACAAGTCCTGCCAGGACACCTCAGGTGAAACATCTGTTTTACCCATGTTTAGACTGTCTGTCAAAGTGATGTCTTTACTGTTGTTTTTACTGTTTTTTTATTGTAAATGTGCACCTTTTGAAGATGTGTATCTTCTTGATCTTACTCTTCTTATTTTCTGAGCAAAGTTTATGACATCTTTTGAAGCTCTTAACACTCCTCTGTGTATATTTATCCAATAGATAGATTTTCCTATCTAAGTGTATATCTATGCAGCATAAAGGCCTAACAGACTCAATGACATGCTTCTGCACACTCTGTTTTAAAGGGAAAGACCAAGGTTGACAGAGGAAACCTCCGCCCTACAGCCAGAGTCAAAACTCGAGTGCCATGGATACCACCAGGAAAGGCCTCCATACGGGATGCTTCATACAAGTGGGAGGTAATACATCTTAAGGAAAATTACACCTAAATCCCATCCTCTGTAAGATTTTGAAAATATTGTTTTTTGCCTCAGTGTTGTGAAAGAGCTCATCCAGTCAAAGATTTAGTGTAACTGAAAGTATAATTTGCACCAAGGGGCCAACACACTGCCTTGAGATCACACCACCACTCCCTGAACCAGGACCTGAACATTCCCAGTCTGCACTGCATTTAGCTGACCTCACATCAGAGGAAGAAGAGGGGCTGCATGGAAGAATCAGTCAATATGAGAGGAAGATTGAGCGCTTACTGACTGAAGTTAGCACTCTAAAGAATGAGGTCAGGTTTTTTTCTGTTTCCTCTTTGATCTGGGCAGCTCTGCATCACATAAATCATTTAATAAGTCCTTATCAAGCTTAAAGGTATATATTGGCCTTATGTATGTCTTTTTAAACATGTTTCATTGTTTGTGTAAAGGCAGACAGGGACTTGAAGGGACTCAAATCAGTGATTTTGTTTGCATCATATTAGGATTATTATTAGATAGCTACAGATTGCTTCACTCTGTGGCCCTAATAGCAAATGTTCAATGTCTGGGTTGATGTTTTCATTCATTCATTTAGATTGATTTCAATTAAATGCAATTAAAAAGCAGTGAGCTATTGAATACACAAAGACCCTAGTAACATATTGTTTGTGTGTTACTATCTACATGTATGTTCGCACATCTGTACGGTTGCAGGTGGAACTGCGGAAGCAAGAGCAGCTGCTGGAGCGTCAGTCGGAGCAGCTAAGTGTCTCCCAGCGGGTGATCGTGGAGCAGGAGGAGGAGCTGGCTGAGGTGACCAAGGAGCTGGAAGAGACTGAGCGGGAGAACTCGCGATTACGCCAATCCATGGAGAAGATGCTGGTGGAGATGGACCACAACAGGCAAATATACTTAACACTTTTACAGTGCTTAATGTGAGAAAGGGTGGACAGGAAATCTTTAGGGTAAATGGATCAATAGCTTAGAGGTTAATGTAGTTATTCATATAATAAGACATTTAAAGAAATAAAAACATATATCCTTTACTTTTGGACAAATGTCCTGATGGTTGAGCTTGTCCTTCCAGACAAGCCGGGGACAATATGCAACAAGACAAAGATGCTCTGCACAGAAAACTGATGGAGGCTGAGTTGGATGGGACAGCAGCTGCCAAGCAAGTCTCAGCTCTGCGAGAATCTGTTTCCAAACTGTGCGGTGCTGTTGGCACTGTGAGTATTAACTCAATATTTTTGTCTGGTCCCATCAGGTCCAACAATAGGAACTCTAGAAAGCAACAAACTGCTTTTACAGTCCAGGGGACTTGATAGGGTTAAACAAGTTCTGACTTCATGACTTTCTCCGGAGCAAAGAATTTTCTACTTGTCATGAATGGCCAGAATTAGTGCTTGTATTAAATGATGTCATTTATTCATTGTTTTGTCAGAATTCGTTCCCACAACCTTCTTTGGGCAACCCTCTGTATGTATTTGTCCCTGTCTATCTCTCTGTCCACTGGTGAAGAGGCTGTCTGGCTCTGAGTCTGCAGTCTTGGCCCGTCAGAAGGAGCTGCTTCTACAGAAACTGGAGACATTTGAGGCCACAAACCGAACTCTGCGTCACCTTCTCAGAGAGCAGCAGGGGTCCCAGGTACTGTGTGTGATGCATCTTCAAAACTCTGTCTCCATCTGCTCATACACTAGGGAGTCACATGTTGAACTCGATACACAGGGAACACTGGGTCATTTGGATGTGTGATTCTAACTGTGATTCTTATTTGATTTAATCAGCCACAGACACATTTCTGTCCCATATTTGAATGTCATGGTGCTTTTAGAGGAAGAACAATCCACGGTGACTGTGTGTTTTTGGCTTACACAGTATATTAATTGCCTGACTAATCAATATAAGTAAGTACACTTCTTTAGACTGCAGCAAAAGCACAATTAAATTTCTTCAAAAATTTCAAAAAAGCTTAACATACACTGTCTGCAATACAAGCAGCCATGTTGAGGGCATAGTCACTGTGATATAAATGGTGGGAAAATGCCTCTGACAGTTGACAAACATATGTACACCATCTCATGATATTATTGACATATTGCCCACCTTAAGGGCCTCATCACAGAAAAATATCCTAACTGCTTGACCTATCTTATCCTAAGTTTCAAAGATAGGAAAAATCCCATCTTCCTATTACAGAAGCAATTCCTAAACTCATGGTTGTGTCCTAACCCATCTCAGGTCTCCTATATTATCTGAACTTAAGAAATCCTAACTAACTGTAAATGTGATTGGATGGATGGATTTAGATTATTATTGATTATTTATTAATTATTAATTAATTGTCTTGGCAGCTGATACATACCTATGGTCTTGGAAATTTAAAGCGTCATCATACCGTTTGTCTGGCGCTTTAATCATTATATTTCAGTCTTCATGTTGTTCCCCATCCTTATTGTCATAGCCAGAAAGAGCTAACAAAAGTGCAGCTGCCATTTTTGGCAGTTATTTTGAACTAAGGACAGCCTCAATAGCAATAGCTAAATGCAGCTGGAAAACATGTTTCTGCAATACCAAAAATCCTAAATGTCATTCTAAAGTGAGATAAGACAGAATCATAGAATTTGTCTAAGGTAGTTAAAGGGGCAGTGTGTAATATTTGGCATGGTTTATTGTCAATCTGAATCTGAATCTGAACATTCTACCCATTAATATGTTTATACAAGTGTATAATCGCTATAAAATAAAATTCGTTTGGTTTTCGTAGCCTTATAATTATGCTTTTATATATATATATATATATATATATATGCTTTAGAGAGGTCGCCATCTTGCGCCGCCATGTATGTAAGGCAGCCCGAGTGGACAATCCAGCCAGCCAGAGAACGCGTTTCGCGTGTATAAATGAACCAACGAAGACAGCGGAAGGAAGGAAGAAGGAGGAAGAAACAGCAGAGAGTGTTAGTAGTTCGTCGATAGAGAGTAGTGAAAAGTTTTTTTAGTTATAAAGTTTGCGAATGGACCACACTTACCACGCAACAGGAGAGAATGAACCCGAACCGTCATCTGCGAGGAAAAGAAGACTTAACTTCACTCCTTGTGATGCACTCTCTGCTGCGCTTTTCCTCCTGGGGATATATCTCCCCAACGATGGTAGCAGTAGCACCGAATCCCATTCTGTGCATTCAGCCTCTCTTCTCACCCGCTCAGCATCAAACACATGGAGTTCCTCATCTGTATGCTCCGGCTCAAACAGGTATGGCTCTGGGTCGTGTCCGCTACAAGAAACTCTTCAAAATCGCGTTCAAAGTCGTCCATTGCAGCTACTATAGTCCGGAGATATTGCTAGGCTAAATAAACAGCTGAGCTACACTGTCAGTCAGTGTACGGGCTGGAGGTTGGTGGAGCAGAGAGGGGAGGGGGGGTCCCCACTCGGTATGGTACACGAGTATGTGTGTAAAGTTATAAAGTGTGTGTGATATGCTAGAAGAGTCAGAGTTTGGGACGGAGTCTTTTACCCCCTGGAGTGTTACCAGAGTTTCTGGAGTGCTCAAATAAACTGGCCTTTTTCCCGAACGCTCCTCTGGTCTCCTGCTCGTGAGTGATTCATTACAATATCGTAACATGGCTTAGATTTCTAAATAAACATTCACCTCGTCGCTAGATAGACCTACTCCTGAAAAACTCGTGCGCAAGGCTTTTTGTCCCTATGAGGCCACCGTCATTTACCCTATGGGAGGGGTGAGTGAGTGAGCCCTGCAATCTAGAATTTTACCACTGATGTCACTGTTTTCAACCCATTTTACACACTGGCTCTTTAAGAAATTTTAGAAGTTTCTGGAATGAGGACTCTGGTCTCTAAATAGTTGTCTGTGTGATTTCCAAGAACAACACGCAGCACATATTTATTTAGCATTATTAACTTTCATGCATCTTTGTGGACTGTGTTTGAGCAGATGGAGTCACTCCGAGTGTCAGAACAGAGAGATGCATTACTCAAGAGACTGGCGGACACAGAGGCAGAAAATGCTGTGAGTGTGATAAAAGCCTAATAAATCTACTTTATTTAATTTTAATTGGTCATAATGTTTTTTCAGTTGTTTTTTTTTTCTTCATTAGACAGGCTGATACCTGGCATATATTTTACCGATGTATTATGGGCTTTTTTGTCTTCCTATTAAACACAAAAAGTTTTCTGTGTGTATGAAACATGCCCTATAAATGAAGCTTGCCTCACTTTTCATTTTACAGCATCTTGTCGTAAAACTCCAAGAGAAGGACAGAGAGGTTAATGAACTCTCCAAACTTTTAGACACTGAAAAGGTACTGTGAACACAGCTGTCAATATTTGTGATGCTTTTTACTGTAAATATGACTGTCAAACAAACAGCACCATCTCACTGAGGCATTTCAATATTTAGTTACAGTCTGCAGGTTAAACAGAATACACTTTTTCTCCCAATGTCCCTAATTTCTGCTGTATTTTGGGAATGCAGGACAATACCAGGAGCACAACTGAGTTGTCCAAGAGTCTGGAGTCAACAAGAGCTCATTTACAGGGACAGCTCCGAAGCAAAGAAGCTGAGAACAACCGACTTACTTTGCAGATAAAGGTCTGTCATGGGAGCTGCCTGTGCTAACATGTGGCATCATGTGTAATTATGTATTGTTGTTGATGTGTATTAGAATTATGTAACTGGTAACTTATGTTTCAATATGTCTGAACTCTGATCCTCTGCTTTACAAATGGAGGGAACAAACACTGAACCCAGCTGTAATCCTTGGTCTTGTTCCTTCCATTGATTCAGAACCTGGAACGAGCAGCCAACCAGCAAAAGGTGGAGATGAAGCATCTGACTGAGCAGCTGGCAAGGCTGAAGCAGCAGTCCAGTGCAGATCGAGAGGTTCTGAAACGAGCCACGCGGGCCCAGAAACAGCGAGCTGAGCGCAGCGAGGACACGGCAGGACAACTGAGCGTCCAACTGCTGGACATGGTATGGCTGTGCCGCAGAGCAGGAAGGCTGTTCTACTAAAGCTTAACATTAATGCCATGCACAGAGATTTTGCAGGGCAGGTGCTTAAGTGGGAAAAAAGGGCATCCCTTACACATTTTTTTGCACGCATGAAAAAAATTGCGCATGTCAAATACATGCCAGGTGGTTTCTATCTGCCAGCACCAAGGGGTTTCTTGAGGCCTAAGTACATACGATATATTTGTGCACGGTAATGAGTGGGGGAAATGTCTGTCTAAATGACTTATGAGATGTCTAAGTATCTATACAATATACACCTAGCAGCTGCTAAACATACACATTCACTTTGTACAATTATCATTTATTTATATCAGGCAACAACAAGGAAAACACCACTCAAATGCAGTTGTTGGGCAAGCAACACACTTGAAATTGAGAATTGATGCCATGTGCCAAATTTAAAAACTAAAATGTAAAATAAAATTAAAAAAAATCATCTTGCAAAAAGGGCATTTATCTAGACAGAGGGCAAAAGGACAGGTGCTTGAGCACCACCTGGGGTCTATCTTTGCATGTGTCTGCTCATAACATCCTCACAAGGTGCTTTTGTTAATTGTTACATTACTGGCCATATGTTAGGTATTTTTCTTGCCACTGGTTGTTTCAAGTCCCATCACACACCGTCTCTTCTTTTGCACTGGTAACTGTAACAGAATTCAGTAAAAACAATCCAAAAATCAATTTTTATTTCTTTTTAACAGGAGAAGCAGATGGTCAATGCGCTGTCAGCAGCTGAGACCTGGCAAAGTCGCCATGCCCAAGAAGCGAAAGAGAAGAGTAAACTGGAGATTGAACTGTCGCTGTTGAACAGGTAACTACGCTCTGTTACGACTCCAGCTGCAGACGAGTGCGTCTGTTGTTAGGATAATCAGACACTGTGGAAGTACAAAATTTGGCACTAATTTAAGTTTGCATGGGGAAGTTATTCACAGCTGAAATCTAAATAATGGCATGCAGGGGAGTGATAGCTGTGGTGACCATTTGGAAAATGATAAAACCATCCTACAAATCTTCATTAAAAAAAATCCATCAGCTTTATTTTGAAGCTTTTCAAATTTGCAGTAGTGCAGCAAAGTCACAGTTTCACAAAGACTTACAACACTTAATTAATTAGAATAATACGAAAATTAAATAATAATCAACAGTTATTCTTATTAGTATTTCACTCATGAGAGGCTAAATTGAAAAGATGCTTTCAGAGTTATTAAATGTATAAATATGACATAATACAATGGGAAGTACAATGGGAAGTTAAAGGAGCAATAAGTGAAATCGTTTCACCACTAGGTTCGCTGTTCTGCACTGCCTGTAGATCAAAACAAAGTGTGTCATGAGCCACTCCTCCCTCTACCTCTGCTCTCCACCCCCCACCCCACTCGCCTCCTCTGTGCCGGTGAGTACCGCAGCATCTCCACAGACTATCACATCCAGACGGTCCTGGTAATACTGGTAATGTCAGATCCTGGTCGTCTTCAGGTGGACGTTCCGCTCTCTGCCATTTCATTTCGAAAATACACACTGCCATTGCTCACTGGCTGTAGCCTTTTATAGGGAGGGAGGGCCAAGGACTCCGAGAGGAGGAAGAGGAGGGGGGGGTGGGGGGGGGGGGGGGGGGGGGGGATTCACATGAGCGTACATGAGCGTACATGAACGCGCAGCCAGACTGGCTTGTAAACAATGGGCTGGAGATCAACACAGAGAGAGGGTGTGTGAGGTCATGCTGTAGCCTACTCCAGATGAAATTACACCTCTAGTTCTTCACATAGCAATTTTTTAATTGTTCAATCTAGAAATGATGAATTTCGCTTATTGCTCCTTTAAAGAGATATGAGAGGAGAGTGACATCATTATTCTAAGGGGGTAGTGATGTTCTTCAAGAATACTCTTGTTCTGTACTGTATACTGTGCCGGACGATGGTGCAGTGGTCAAGAATTGGCGCCTCACAGGGTTCCTGGTTTGAACCCAGGGGTGGGGGAGCCCCTCTGTGCTGTGTTTGCATGTTCTCCTTGTGTCAGCATGAGTTTTCTCTCGGTACTCCGGCTTCCTTCCACAGTCCAAAGACATCTAAAGACATGCTGTAATAGTCTGGCGACCTGTCCAGTGTGTACTCCGCCTCTCGCCCATTGTCAGCTGGAATAGCCATTAACCCTGTATGGATGTGAATTGATTGTTATGATTGGTGTGGGGCATTGCTCGGGTTAAATCCTTTGTAAAGCATGACCAAATACATACAGAATTCTCTGAATGAATGCCATAGAAATTTCACATTTGCTGACATTTTGCTAACATCTGATGTTATTCTGTTTATCAGAAATCAATTCTTTTTTGCTGCTGTAAAACAGTAGTTGCCAGTGGCTGCACAGCACAACTTGCTATGTAGGCTAAAAAGGTTGAGAAGGATTGGATTCCAGGTAAACTGCTGTTTTTTCATGAGTGTTAAACTACGTTGTATGTGGTATTGGATTGGTGCATAACCATGTGTACTCACATATACCCATTCCAGCATTTAAAGCAGTATCGGAGGCATTTCCAATACTAGTATCATTATCAGAATAACTCTTGTCATGAAATCAGTGTATTGGCTGAACTACAGGAAAAAAAAGACTATCTGAGATGCAATAAAAACCCTAATGAGCACATTTCTTCAACTGAAACTCAAATCTGACAGCTGTTGTGTTTCACGATGTAGCCGTATAGCAGAGCTTACGGAGCAGCTGCAGGGTGCAGGGGATAAAGGCAGAGCAGAAAGAGAAGCCCTGCTGGATCACCTGCATGAACTGACCAAAGAGAGCACTGCTGCCAAACTGGAGAACCAGTCCCTCAAGGTGAAACACCCAGCAGTCCACAGAAAGCTGTAATTCACTTTACACTGGGGACGCATTTATTAAATGGACCTCCTACACATCCATTCAACTTTTGTGTCTTAGATAATGTCCCTCCTGTTCTCATTTTTTATTAGACTTACATTGCCTTATATTACATTTGGAGGAAGGACTGTCTTGTTAATTTGATATCTGATGACATATCATGTGTTCATGTCAGGCTACAGCGTCTGCAGTGGAGGAGAAGCTGGCCTTGTCTCAGTCAGAGCTCCTGCAGGTCAAAGCTTCAATCCAGCAATATGAAAGCCTGCTGGACAGCTATAAGATCCAGGTATGAAGCATACTGCACTACTAGGAGTGCAACAGTATGAGATTGTGATGGCACAGCAGATTACAGTCCTGTCGACAGTGTTAATGTTCATGAAGTCTCAAGCCAGTTTTTCTTTCTGTTAACTAACGATGTACAGGTCGGAAAAACCTGGGCCGAAGCAGATGAGTACCGTGCTCGGCTGGCTGAGGCGGAGCAGGAGGCCCAGGCAATGCGCGGGGAGCTGGAGCAGGAAATAGAGGAGGTGCGCAGGAATCTGCTGGGGCAGCTGGCAGAGCTGGAGCCTCTTCCTGAAGCCTTACGACGCTCTGAACTCCAGCTGCAGGAGGCTCAGGACAGGGAGCGCAACCAGGAGAGGCGCATCATGGAGCTCAGCACAACCCTGACTGATCTCCGAATGAAGGTCACAGCAGTCCTATATATGCAAGCCCAGTTAGCATCACAAAATAAGGATTTTAATTCCAAGTTAAAGTGCTAATTTGAAAATAAAACAGATATTATAACACTGATTTTGAGAAGATGATCATTTAAACAGTGGAACCATACTACATTTTTCATTGTAATTTGTAACACCCGTTCAGACTTAGGTGAACATTTGCTGAATTCTTATGACACCAAAGATAACTGTTTTATGGAACTAAAAACAAACTAAGTGCTATATTTCAGAGGTGTGAGTAGGTCACACATAAGCAAGTCACAGGCAAGTCTCAAGTCTTAACCTTCAAGTCTCAAGCAAGTCCCAAGTTACTGTGGTGAGACTCAAACAAGTCAAATCAAGTTGCTGCTACAAGTCAAGCAAGTCACAAGTCAAGTCATATGAAATTCTGATAATCTTGTCAAACATAGCTTAGCTAATGTTTCACCAGCCAATAAGCTTACAAGTTAGCAAAAGAGATACATTGACACACCTTTCAGTGTGGCTTTTGTAGTGGCAAATAAAGTTGGATGTCATCAAGTCAAGTCCTTTCAAGTTATCTCTCTCAAGTCTTAGTTAAGTCTCAAGTCATTAATATCAAGTCAGAGTCAAGTCTTTTATAATTGTTAGTCAAGCAAGTTCTCAGCAATTGTGTCAAACTTTAGTCAAGTTGTGTGACACAAGTCCCCTACTTTCAGCACAGACAAAGGTTATTTCATTGGCAAATAAAAGACTTAAAACATTTTTATCCATAACACAAGCGAGACTAATAAGTGAAAGGAAGTCATAGGATTTATGGGAAATGGGTGGCTTAAATTTCAAATTAGTAACACTGAAAGCAACATTTGTATGTGATCAAGGCCACTATTAATGTCCAACAAATGTATTGTTGAGGTTCACTTTTTGCCAAGAAATGTCTTTCAGCTGACATTAAAAAGTATTTTTTAGGTACCACATCAATCTTGCTAGAACTTATAGTCAAACTACACACATGCAGTTAGTTTAAGTAGCAGATTTACCGGTACATAGGACACCAAATACCTGGATATACAGTGAAAGTCATGTGATAAAGGACTCATCTTGTGTTGTATTAGGTGGAGACCCAGGGCAGCCAAGTAGAACTTCTGAGACAGAAGAACAAGGTGCTGCTGGAGGAGAACAGACAGCTTCAGCAGCGAGTGGAGAGTTTGGAAAGGTCAGTCACTGCTTATGGTTTTGTCTACTGGCTGTAGTGCTTTGTTCAGACCAAGGGTTTTCAGCATCTTACATTGTAAAAAAAATTAAAATTTAGACTGTGTCCCTCTTCTATTTGTGAGTTACATTCTCATTTACAGTCAATTTAGTGTCACCAATTAACCTCGCTGGCATGTGTTTGGACTGTGGGAAGACGTCTCTTCTATTTGGAACACAATCATGCTTTAAGTTTTGGAGCTACAGTTTCCATAGTTTGGAAACTTTGGGGGATGTTAAAAGAAGGCATTACGTTGCAATGGAGTGAGTGAGCTACTAGCAGTTCCTGTTTGCAGTGTACCCATGGATGTACTGGACAAACACAGGATAACATTCTGGGGTGAGGCCTTACATCCTGCTTCACCCTGTGTTGTGTGCCTGATGCATGTTGACATCGACTCACCTTGGGTCATCTCGTCACTTTTTGAATAAACTAGCAAAATTGTAACCTAAAATGACAACAACAAAATTCTTGGCTTAACCCCAAGATTAAACCCAAAGCATACCTCACCCTTAAGTGGCTGGCTGCCAGAGCTTATTATTTATATAAAACTAATGTAACTCACCCTCCATCATGGAAAACTCATGAATGCACACTCAGAGCACAGGCTGAGCGGGGCTGTCATGAAATGTACATGGGAGAAGTTTGCCTAGCCGAATTACGGTGAGAAAGCCCTCTCTGGCAGAAGTCTATTGACTTTAACCCCAACCAAGATTTGTGTGGTAACCTTAACCAAGAAATCCCTTTCTGTAAGAAAGCCTTCCTGGCAAACTTCTCCCAACAGGTCAAGGAGTTTGCCAAAGTGTGCGCTGCTTCTTCCTGCTGTGCAGTGATTAGGTTGAGAGAAAATAGTTCCTACATTTAACTATTCAAAACAAGGTCTGTGGATTATCTTGAGTAACAGGGTCATGATTTCTGGAAAGGGACATTGCTGTTTAGTTTTTCAAATGTATTTCTTTGGTGCTTTGAGCATCGCAAGCTGAGCGCCATTTAGTTCCATTATATCGGAGAGGAGGCAGATAACTCCAACACTCTGCAACTCATGCCAAAACAATATAGATTGATAAATAGCACTACAGGTAAGAGGAAGAAATACAAATTTTTGATTTTAGGTTGAATTGTCCCTTTAAAGCTACACAATAATGTCATTCTCAGTTGTTGGCCTCCTAAACATGGCTTGAAAAAAAAAATGAAATCATCTTAATGATGTGAGTCAGTGCACTGGTTAACTGTTTATTCTGACTGTTCATAGTTGTTGTCACTCTTCTGTCTTGTGTCATGTTGCAGAAAGCTTGAGGAGGCTGGCAGTCAGAACAGCGACCTGCAGGCAGTCATTGCCAAACGGGAAGACACCATCCACAGTAATCAGCTTCGTCTGGAAGAGAAAACAAGGGAATGTTCCCTGCTCAGCAGAAAGCTGGAGGAGGCTCTGGGGGATGCTCGCCAACAGGTCTGAAACTGAACATTGGTCAAACAAAGTGTGTGGTTAAAGGATACAGTAGTAGATCATCATTTGCACTGCATCAGGAAACATTTAGTCAGACCTCTGCATTGACGCAAAAGGAGTGTAGATGCAGAGGTTCTTTGACAAAACAAAAAAAGCAGCATTGTCCTGCAAAAAATTGTGAACCTGAGCCTACATCCACTTCTACTGAAGTGGAAAGCCTCTGCAGCTTGGGTGTGTAGTAAGTAAGTAAAGTAAGTAAAATGTATTTGTATAGCACTTCACACAGAGAGAACTCACAAAGTGCTTCACAGGATTAAAACACAAACCAAGAATACATACATACAAACATACAGAGACGCAAAATGAAACAGCAGCAGTTATTGCAAAACTAAATCACTTAAGACAAGTTGAAGAATGCCTGCCTATACAGGTAGGTTTTAAGGTGCTTCTTAAAAACTTCAACAGATGCTGTTGCTCTCAAATTCTGTGGGAGGGCATTCTACAATCTGGGTGCAATGGACTCAAAGGCCCAGTCACCTCTAGTTCTGAGCCTAGTGCGAGGAACTGCCAACACGCCGTGGTCGGCCGACCTAAGTGTCCTACTAGGAGCGTATACATGCAGCAAGTCAGACAGATACTCAAGTGCCTGACCATGAAGGGCTCTATATGTTAAAACAAGGATTTTGAACTGGATCCTAAAGCTGACAGGAAGCCAGTATAGGGAGGCCAGGACAGGGCTGTGTATAGTTAAAGTGAGCTTGCATGTCTTGAGGTGCATGTTGTTAGGTGCATATTGAGATATATCAGTTATGTACTATTTGCCACCCCACCCACTGTTACCCCAGTAATTAAGTACAATGTGTCATTTGTTTCCAGATATCAGAGACCAGAGGACTTGCTGCCACCAAAGAACGCTCCACCCAGTCCAAGATACTGGAGCTCGAGACCCAACTTAGCAGAACTAACTCAGAAATCAACCAGCTGCGACGCAGCAAAGAGGAGGTGAAGGCCTGCAATATTAGTTTACTTAAAGGTATAGTTTGGAATTTTGAAGTGGGGCTGTATGTGGTATTTATTTGTAGTGGGTGTATTACCTTCAGCAGGTGGTAGTGTGTGCGCCCCCAGTTTGGAATAGCAGGAAAGAGTCCCACCATTACATTGCCGTGGACAGGGAGTTGACATCAAAACATACTGTCACATACAGTCACCTTGAAAGAGACCCACCTAAAAAAATCAGTATCAGTCTAAGTGGACGCTATATTGAGAATTTTTTCACTGCTTCACCTTGCAATCAGACAGCCCTTTTCTTTGGCACTACATTTTCCCAACCGCAAAACTTCTGTATTACTGCGCCACTGCTGCTGCGCATTTTATTCCTATGTTACTCTGTTGAAGTTACATAGTACAACATAAAATGTTGTAGGCTATGGTTCATAGCATAGTTCAAGTATCTCGGGGTCTTGTTCAAAAGTGAGGGTAAAATGGAGCATGAGATTGTTAAGCGGTTTGGCCATCGTGGTGGGGAGGAAGCTGAGCAGGAAGGGGAAGCTTTTGATTTACTGGTTCATCTACGTCCCAACCATCACTTATGGTCCTGAGCTTTGGGTAGTGGCTGATCAGGATGCCTCCTGGGCATCCTCCGTTAGAGATGTTCTGGGCACGTCCCACTGGTAGGAGGCCCTGGGGCTGACCCAGAACACGCTGGATGGATAACATATCTTATCTGGCCTGGGAACGCCTTGGGGTCCCCCAGGAGGAGCTGGAAAGCGTGGCTGGGTTCTTTGCTTGGCCTGCTGCCCTGAGAGCTGGCCCTGGACAAGTGGATGAAAATGGATGGATGGATGGATGGATGGATGTAATCAGAGCCAAAAATTTACTTTGAAGACAAATCGTTATTAGGCTCTTCTGGTTTTGGACATTTTTCCCCAATTTATCTTTGGAAAACTGAAGAAGGTCTGCAAGACACCAGCTCTCAGTAAGGCAGGGAGCTGTGGATGGTTGGTGATGGAGAGCTTGCAGACTGGATGTGAAGCACTAGCATCCTCTGATCTGATTCAGAAAGATCCTGTTGTTATGTTGTTACCAAGTCCCACACATGGCAGCAGTAACGTTAGCTCTCCAGGTCTGTGATCATGCATTTACAGTTCACAGTCAGCTTCTGCTCGCTCTGGGCTAGGGGTGTTCCTGGTGACTAATTTCCCTGTCAAGTAAACGAAAATTTTAATTAAGACAAGACGACTGGTCTGAAAAAATGACAACACTCCGAAAACAGTCAAAATTTAGCACAATTTATTGTTAAGTATTTGAACATTATCCCCCAAAAATATTGTGTGCATTAAGAGCCCTTTGAAGCCTTTAATCACTATCTTCAACAACCATGTCTGATTCTAAACGCCGCTGAACGAGACACGAGACACAGAAGTACTTTTAATCGTTAAGACGTTTAATCTGGCGCATCCCTACTCTGGGCCGTCACTTTGCACAGGAGGCTGTTTTAAGGTTAACCCCCGTCTACAGCATTGTTTTGCTGAGCTTCCCTGCCTGTTATTGTAAACTGGGGGTGCACAACCACCATCTACTGGAGGTAATATACTGACTATAGATAAGTACCTTATACAGCTCCACTTCAAAACTCCTGAACTAACCCTTTACAAAGTGTTGGCATCAGCTGTGTTAGTAGGTTTGTAAGGTGTTTATTTGTGATTCTCAGGTGGAGCGGCGGTACCAGAGCCGACTGCAGGATGTGAAGGATCGCCTGGAGCAGTCAGACAGCACCAACCGAAGCCTGCAAAACTATGTCCAGTTCCTCAAAGCCTCATATGCCAATGTGTTTGGAGACTTGGCCCTCAGCAGCTCACTGCGTGCCCCCTCACCCATCTGACATCCTGTCTGTCAGAGGTGTACTACAAGCACACATTCCAAAACAGTACAATGGTATGAGCCTGTTACTTCAAGATTTGCTAAGAGCTGGAGGCTGTAAAGATGACGTGCTTGGTCAGTTGCCTGGTTGCTTGTGTCATTCCATTTTAAACCAGTTGGGTGAAGAGCAGCAGTATCTATTGGCTGCTAGTGAGGTTTTTAGAATGTAAGACTTGTCTCAGTAAACATTTGATTAGACCTGAATTGGTAGACAATGTAACAAGGATACACATCTTGCTTTGCCTGGGGGGTACTTTTGCAAAATGATAGGTGGCCAGGGGCCAGTCACAAAAGCCCCGCACAGGTCAGGTTTACGCAGGGGTGATTTCTAGATTTGAGGATATCTGGAGCTTAACCTGGACCTCTGTCAGAGTCGGGGGACCCTCCCCTGGCACAGTTTTGATTAACAAGCTCTATTTTAATTTTTTTATGCACCCTGGCAGCTTATTTATATAAAAAGTTTTTTTAAAAAATTCTATTGTCAATCAACTTGTTTTCATTGTGAATTAGAAAATGAATGGGGGGCTACCCGGCACCCTTTTGCAGGCCACATTTGTCCCACGGGCCAAATCACTGCAATATAATATGTCATTAGATTAAAAATTTTAAAAAAATCCAAAAAATGATCCTTTGTGATTTTAAAGCTCTTGAATGTAGGATTTAAAAATGTCCTTGGTGACTTCTAGTGGTAGTATCAAAAAACATTGTGACAGACATAGACTGTATAAAATAATGAATGTAGCTACTGTGACGTCACCCATTGGTTTATGGACTTTGGTTAAAAAGCCTAAAGTTTGATGTTTCGGCCGTCACCATCTTGTTTTTTTGGAGCCAGAAGTGATTGTATTTGGATGACAGGGTGGATCTCAATCAGACTGTAGTGAATCCCCATAGACAGCCCATCATTCAAAGCGGCCGCACCCTTAATTATACGTAATCTCAAGCCCTAATAAAATTCAAATGGCTGAGTTATATAAAAATTCGCTCCCTGCACGCTTGTCATAAACTTTGAAATTAGCTATAGAGACCAAAACAATTTTTGTACCAGGCTGTAAACATGTTTATTTCTGCTGTAAATTTGGGCATTTTAACATGCGGGTCTATGGGGACTGACTGGCTTTTGGAGCCAGCTTCAAGTGGCCATTAGAGGAACTGCAGTTTTTATCACTTCCATGTTCATTTTTCAGCCTGGAGGTTGCTGCTTAGTGACAGACAAATTCACAGTGTACATCCCTTTTCACTATAATCACATGTAAACTGTGTTGCAACTTTAAATTTACGAGACAAGTCATTTGTTGAAAATCTCTATGACTGGATGGATGGATGGAATTAGTAAAATCCTTTTGGAAAACTCATGGAATTTTGATTTCTGTAATGACATAAATGGTTAAAGTAATCTTCCGTGAAAATCCTTTCACGTAATGTAACATAAAAGCAAATTTATTTTCTGTAGCTGTTGAAGTAACGTACCTCCAATATGCATGGATGCAGGATGATATGTTTACCATCATGTACATTTCTTGATTTTTCCCCTGCATTTTGTCTCTACCTCTATGTATGCCAGTTAGCTGTTATTGTGTCTGAATAGAGTGTGAATCTGATTTGTTTGAATAATGCCAGGCAAGTGGGGCAAAATAAATAATGTTGTGACAGTTTGATTTAACATGTAGGGTCATGTATTCCAAAGTTACCCTACTTATGGCCCACTAATATTTTTAAATTGTACTGCATTTTGTAATTTGGGGAACTGACATGGGCAGCGTAGGGCGTTCAATTGGCATCCAGAGTACCAATGCACACTTTGGTCTCATTTTAACTGCTCTGAAAGTAGAGCATGGTAGTTTGAATGTCCTGAGCATTCTTTTTTTTCCAAACAAATTAAGCAACAGCACAATGGAACTTTGGGCTTTCACTCCCCCACTGTGTCCAAGGACTGCTGTAAGTAGTATAATTAATTTTTGAAGTAAAGTATGCTATACAGTTCTGTTTATATTAAAGGTTGTGAGTGGTAATGAAAATCTTATTATGGGCACTTGAAAAGTTATGGAAAAATTTTGGAAATTTGTCCATGAACATGTGCGGGAACAGGGGAGGAGACTAGGGCTCCACAACTTACCAGGCATAAAACAAATTATAACATTGTTATATTATAGGCTGGGTTTCGAGTGTGCACTGCAAAATGTGCAGGTGTAGAGAATTGTGTACGGCCAGCATCTCACCTCAAATTTTGATACTGAAACAAATGTACATCAACTATGCCCATCTGGGCTTTTATAGTGTATAAACTAATTTGGCTGCTTCACTACTATTCTGACTGCATACCTTTTGGCATATTAAACCACAACTTATTATGTAAAAGGAGATATAAGTTACACCTTATGTCGCTTTTCCATATGTTTGGGATACTCAGGCCATACTGTGAACAGCTGTGATAAGAGTCAATACTGCGATGCAAGTACACATAATTTTATGAAAGGACACAAAGTTAAAAAGTATTTTTTACCCTTATGACATGCTAGATGTTTGATGGTTCACACAAATTGCACCAAGCACCTGTGACTTGCAGCCCTTCATCTATCCAGCTCACTCTTGCTGCTGTTTTTACCATTCCTTACCGCACCTTCCCATTATAATGCCTTGCAAGTTGGCACTAAGGCACAAGTCTCAGTCAGGCACTAATCTCAGTGGTGAACAAAAGGAGCCTTACTGTACAGTGTTTACTCCACTGCTATGCAAAAATGAGTCGTGACAGACTGAACAAAAGCTGCTGAGGTTCAGAGAGAAAGCAGAGTAATTGCATAATCATTTGTTTTCTTGTTTTTCCTATATGCTTTATGATTTCATCAGAATTTCGTGTTGGATCTTCAAGACCAAATATCAACACTAAATAGTTGTGTATATTCTGACTTAACAAAAGTTTTCAACATGATGGCGCCTTGGAGCTTTTCAAATTAAATGTTTTTTTCTGCCGAAATGTATGATTGGATATTGAAGTATTTTACATGCCAAACCCAATGAACTTTGCTCATCTTCTTTATCCAGCCTTCACAGTATCCTTTATTTTCAACCTCAGCTAGTCATGACATAAGGTAATGCGTCTATGTCCAGAATTATAAGACTGCATTCTGTACTTGTGCTGCTGTATACTAAAACTATTGATTTGTTTTTTACATTTATACAACTCAAACAAAGCCATCTATGACGCATTATGTGCTGAAATGTATCTACGCTCTTTGATTGTATGGAGCTGTAAACATTGGTGCTATCGCTGTCCTTTGGCTGGTACAAGACAGTGTGTGTCAAAATAGTTATTTTTGGTTTACAGATTGACATGCAACATTATTGAAATCAATAGTTGTTTAATAACTGAATTGTTTATATCCACTATGGGTAAATTAAAAGCGTCAATAAAACAACAAAATGTTTTTCCACCTTTGTCAAACTGACTGATGATTGAATGCACTTGTTGTTTTCTCATCTCTTTTTTTTATGTGTCATACATTGTTACACAAAGGGTACAAATTGCACTTTTTGGTGTTGGTCCACTGGCATTGTGTACAATTAGTGACTGAGTTTGTGGGGCTGTTTTGTAGTCATGTGTTTGTCATCCATAGAAGCTGTCAATCATCACAACTGCTGTCGTATTATCCCGTAGCAGTTTGTCTAAGAGAAGCCTCATCACACCAGTCTTTGTTGAGTTTAGCTTAAAAAACTTGTTGAAATTTACAAAGTTTAAGTGAACTTAACAAAAAATAGTCAGTTTGAAAGATATAGGTTGAAGTGTCCCTTTAACAACTAAACGTCAATTTTTACTTCACATTAGGAGAGAACAGTTAAAAATGGAAATGATGCAGGCAAAATAATTCATCAACCAATGTGTAACAGCTCATGAACAGATGATGTACTGTCTGGTAAATCCTTGTGGTAGTCAGCTGATAGAGAGGCTGCTGAATGTATTACTTCACGCAGACAACACTGGTGGTTATAGAAGAATCATGTATTCACTTTGCAGCTCAGTGTTAACTGATACTCACTGAAAGCCAGTTTATTGGTACAGTTACAGTGCATTCTGCATCAGCAATATTGTCTGAGACTGCAGGGATAGGAGCACAATGTCTCGAGATAACATTAAAACACCCAGCCCTGCACTGATGAGCACTAATTCTATTATGCATGACTAACAGTGTGCATGAGCAGCAAGCAGCAAGTCTTTTTGTCCTGCCTCATTCACTGTTTGTCTTACAAAGTGTAATGTTATTCCTGTACAGTTGGAAAGGTAGTGTAAGGGACTCTTCTTTAGTCCCTGGGGCATGACTGTGTTTATTATTGTCATTATTATTATAATTATTATTATTGTTAGTAGTAGTAGTAGTGACATTATTTTGATCCTCCCTGAAGCTATTAATATTAATATTTTTCCTTAAGCCTCCCTGAGTGACTGGTGAAAAATGCATGACCCTCCTTACACCATAGAATTGTTTTTCGATTTTTATAACTTACCCCTTGATTTTTGAACGTTAATAGTTTAAGACAAAATCCTGGAGTTGAAAAAAAGTGTTGGTTTTTCACTCTTGTCATGAAAAGTTAGTGCAAACGCTTTTTTGATAAATTAGTCTAAAAAGGTAATGCCAGATCACCAGCTTTCACTTCTGATATTTAAGAATGCTGATTTTTGTCTAAACCACTCTTGTTTTTATGCCTGAACACTATAAGAATATAACAGTTAGGGTTCAACACAGCTGAGAACATTTTGTGTTGAGCATGTTATGCTCTGACAGTTTCGGGTATGTTCGGTATTTATCGGTGTTTTCCGTACAGCTGCAGAAAATTGCGTCACATTTGGTTGAAAAAAAAAAACAGCCATACCGGAGAGCAGGCTCGCTGCATCCTTCGCCGTCGATCCGCTTGGTCAACCACCACTTAGTAAGCTCTTTCGTAAACAGACAGAGGTATGGAAAATGCTTACATTATTGTTGCGTTGGCCATTTTAAGATAGATTGATTGCAAAAGATGACCGTGTTTTCCTAGGTGCCCTGTTCTGTTAATTCAGTTTGTCTTTCCTGCCTGCTCCGGGTTCGCTAGCTCGGTAGCTAACGTTAGCTAGCTGCAAGCATTCCTTTTGTTGGACGATATTTACTATATGGATTGTAAAATTACCATAGACTGCTTGCTAGCTACCTTTGAGTTAGATAGTATTTAACTAAATCTTAACATTATTCACCCTGCAAAATGACACTAGCTTGCATTGACATCCATCAACCTGCTTTGCTTTCACACAAAATGATTGTTTTAAACATTCACAAATTGATGTATTTAACATAATTATTACGCTTTCCGTCTTGACTATGTACCGTCGACGTTTTGATAATGCTGGTTTATTTACAATGTTCACGTTAGCGAACATAACCCAGGGGTTTGTCAGGAGCCGCTAGCTCTATCTGCTAACTAGTAAGTTAAGTCGGCTGGTTACGTACATTTGCAGAAACCAAATATGATTCACCAATATACATTGAAACAGGTTTTCAAGCTCAGACTGTACATTGTGTGTTTGAACTAATGAATGAAATGCCATCGGATTAAAAATGGCAAGGTTATGTGGGTGGCTACAGTAGCTGGTCGGCCATGACTGAAAGGGAGCCGCCCAGAGAAGCTGAATACCTTTGAACATATGGCCCCAGCTGTCACTCCTCTTATTACCCTGCAATTTACATGCGGACAGTGTCTTGTTCAATAATTTACACGCGATCTATGGTGGAGGGATATATCGAGTGAATGAACAATCTGTGAAGCAGTTTTGACAATAGCTAGCGTAGATGTCTTTAAGGAGTGGGCCAAGGTTATAAAAAGACTGGTATCTCTAGCAGACCATAACGGAATATACTTCACATAATAGTGTATAGTTTGCATAAAACTATATAACTGGGCTCCTGATAACGTGAAGGCGCTATTTCACATCTCTGTAACTGACTCTCCAGGCAACTGACTTTGTCAGGGTGGTGCCAAGTTCTTCACATACCAACTGCCCCCTCTACTCTTCAGAGGAATTCAGATAGAATCCTACAGTATACATTCTATAAGATACTAAGCACCATGTAGTACCATAGTTATTGTTGAGAATCACATTATTAACCATGCAAACACTGTTTAAAAGATCTCAAGCTCATACTTACTTGTGCTGTTTCTTATGTATGGTTCTAAGGATTGGAATGTGTCACTTGTTATTCTCCAGTAATGTGCCATAAACTTTTGATTAGCGTGAGAACAGTTAATCACAGGGTGGTCGTAAAATTTCTTTCACTATTATGTATTGTGTCTTAGGGGTCTAAATCACAAGTTTCATCATGATGTGATAGACTGATTCTTAGGACAACAATACTATACTGCGATTTGATTAAATCCAGGAGGCTGTGATTGTAATGAGACAATATCAGTAAATATGGTCATTAGGGATGCACAATAATTTCGGCATGTCATCGGTATCGGCCTATATTGGCCTTATAATGAACTATCACAGTTGGCCTACATTCTTTTTCTTAACTTGTACAATGAATGAACATTATGTACATTGAAAAGCATTCACTTCGTGTCTCCATCTACTGGTTGGCCCTCACAATAAGAGTATGCATGCATAACATGATGTTAATTACACTACAGAAGAGACTTGATGATCACTAAGATTAGGTGGGGGGGGGAAAGTGGATATATCGATATCAGATATCGGCAAAAAAATCAATATCATGCATCCTTCATCCTTATCTGTTTCTTGGATGATTACCATTTTATGCCTGGTGCTAGGCTGCTGACACTGTTTGAATGTTAAGGGAGGAGGTGTGCTTTGATGGAAATTTCACACAAACTTGGCATGGGAATTTCAAAATAAAGGCGTATCCTTAAATTGACAAAATGAAATTTATGTTTTCACTTTGCATTGATGATACTGGATCATCATCCATCCATCTATCCCTCCCTCCCTGATGAGTGTCATTGTTGCACTGCTAGATATGACTTTCATTTGTTTTTTGGCTATTATATCGGCCTCAACTCTAGGTAGCTCCCTATCAGCCAAATGTAAAATGGCAGCAGCAGAGAATAGGAGAGTATTATTGCTGGCACAGACATTCATTAATTAGCCTATTCAAAGCAGAGTATAAATAGGACAGTTAGTCGTTAGGCTTAAAATTGTATGAACATAAACTAAGTAAGCGCTGGAGCCTGACCTAATGTTGGCAAAATGGCAAAATAGGGCAGCTCTTCAAATTGTACCACTGGAAATACTTCCTAGATATTCCCAGGGCAAATTACAAGTCCCTCTACACAGCCTAATTTTAATTGGATCGTGTTACAGTCATCACTTGATCACATGACATATGAATATTGTTCTCCATGTTACAACTGACTCAGACAGCATGATTGGAGCTTCTTTTCCTTTTCTCCAAAACAGGCATCAAACCTGATCATCCTTCAGTGAAATTTGCTGTTATGAATCCAAAATTGATCACTGATGTGATCCAATCTACATCGGTGTACTTCAGTTAGCTGTAGTTCAAGGCAGTGTTTGTAATGCAAAGTGGACCTATCACACCATTTAAAATAATGCATGCAGTGTTTAATAATGTTGTTAGAAGAGGAGGGTGGGGTCAGTGGTTTCTGCAGGGTCAGCTCTGCAGTCACTGGTAAACAACCTCTTTGTTTCACTCTTGAGTAATATCAATAACTTGCATCATTTGAACACAGCTTTATAGACTTTGCTATGTGCCAAGGTCTGTGCTACAGTGAATAGAAACCTACATATTTCTCTTCTCCAAACTCCCATTTCATTGTAACTCCAGGGTGACCATGACCCAAATGAAAAATAGCCCTCCCTGTCTCTGGGGCTGGCAGCTTTGGTGTTGGCCCTGCAGACACAGTACAGCCTGCTAACTCATTGTCATTCTAGTGCTGGCATGAACTACTTTCCAGACATTTTGAGACTCTGCTTGTACAGAAGAGTCAGGTTGTTTCCATCTCAAATGTACAGTGATTCTTGATTTTATTGACTGCTGAAACATTATCATGATGAACTTCATACATAATGCTTCCTGTGAAAGCATCTTCTCATTGCGACTACTCACTGCTGATTGCTTCTTACTGACTGTGCGATCAATGTTATGCCCTACCCAGATACACAACATGACGACATTTACTAAACCCAAACTCAAGGTAACATCCATGTTTGTCTCACCATACTTCTGTGTGTTTGTGTGTGCCGGTGTGTCTTTAAGTTTGTATAGGAGAGAAGATTCGAGAGAAGTGTAGGGCAGCGGTGATGTTGTTTTGCTGAGTAAAGGGATGGGAGAGAGTTGGAGGGAGGAGTAGGGGTTACCGAGCAGAGAGAGACGCATGGGCTGGGCTACATCTTGGCTTGCTCTTTTGTACAG